TAATGTATTTATTTCGGATGGGGAATCTTAAAAATATAGATTTTTGAAGTGATGATAAAACATGAAAAAACAAAAAAAAATAATGCGTATTTACACTACAATAATTTTATAAATATTATAAGTAAAATAGAAATACATTAAATAGAATTACATTAAGTTTCGCGTCACATTAATAAATTACCGAATAAATGGGGACTACTGTGACGCTCACTAGTGGCAACACTTGTCGACGTTTTATGTTCCAAGCTGTCAGAATAAATAATAAAAATGATTAATTAAAAATTTGGATTTTTATGTATACTTACGTATGAAATGTGATTCCATCCTGTTTTTTATTTCTGGAAGATTGGTTTTTACACTCTTTCACAACACAATTCGGCATTTTTTCTTTAAAAACTGCCAATTATTATAACGTGAAACTCTGTGCGCTGGAATAGCTCGAATGAGAAGCTAAGGCGTAGTTTCGATATATTTGTGTGCGTGAAACTGTGTATGTACAAGGCGAGGCGTAGTTTTACATGCCTCAGTGCGTTGTTCGACGGGGCTCTGTCTTGAGTTTTTATTTCGTCTGAGCTACTACCTATTTAAATGTTTTTGAACAGCCTGCACATTTATTTTTCCCAGTGTTCATTTATTGACAACGCCCTCTTGTGATTGGCAGAAGTTGAATAGACAACGGATATGATGTGTTGTTATTAGTTCTTATGCTCCAAACTAGATGTCGCCATTTATATTATAATTTGTAATTTCACTACTTCCCACTAGATGACGTTTTTTCTGTAATATTTTATATGTGAAGACGGCGGGTATCTCAAATTTGAAATGCACTGGTTATAATATACCTATGGAATGATTTCTTATACTTACGCGAACACTACACATTGATTAAAACTACTTTTACGGATTGTATCGCGTTTAATTTTAAATGTTTTTATTGCCGACGTTTCGGGTGTTTCCAGCCACAGAACACTAGTACCCTTAGGCGGGTTTTAATTATTATTTATGGTCCGGTATCTACGCAGAATGAACTTACTGTGTCTTGAAGTCTTAGATCTCTATTTCATTACTAAAAGTGTGGCATATGAAGTCTAAATACATGAAAGTCGTCCCTAAGCTACGGCGCCGCAGTCTACGCTAACTTCCAATTTTAATATGACAACACTGATGAAAGCCGTATTGTAATTTTAAATGCTCATTTTTAATGAGGTGTTAAACATCCGCATTTCAGAGAAATTATTTTAAAATAAAACCACTAAAAGAGGTGAAGTCCGTCGCACATTATTCCTAAGCTGCTATTTTATGAAATCAAATAATGGTGATTTTATACTATCGCGGTCACCTCGTTTTTTGGCTCTAAAAATGGAAGAATCATCCGATTTCGATGATTTTTTTAAATCTTCGTCTTTACGTGGATTTATGGAAAAATATGGAAAATATCTCACCTCAAGATTTCATATAGCTTTATGACTAAATGTGATCATAAACGCACTTTTTCGAATATAATCGTTCGTAACCTTTTTGCAAAGCGGTAAACGAAGTTTGTATATTTTTTTTGTTAATCTACACAAAAAACAAACATTTAAAAAAAGACATTGAAAATGGTTTTTTTTATTAATTTTTTATCTCACTTTAAGTTTTTGATTTTAAATGTTATCATAAACGCTCTAGAAAATCAAAAAATCATCGGATTTTGATGACTTTTTCTTTTAAATCTTCGTTTTTACGGAAAAGACCAAAATGAAAAGAATTAACTATGTATTATATTCAAAAATAAATCAACTTATAAAATCCTCGAAAAGTTTTGTAACAAAATAAAAAAAATTATGCAATCTTTGACAGTGATTGCTATATCTTAATCTAAATAACGCACATTAAAAAAATTGAAAAACATTTTTTTTAAATCACATAATATTATTTGTTTATAAATTTTTTAGTGAAGCGAGCTCGGTACTTATGGCATCCCGACTCGGACGGGTTAGGTTAGAAGGAGATCCCCAATAACTAATTTTGACTCCACCCAGGTTTTGCATCTGGATCACATAATCATGCAGCACTCTATAAAACCATTTCTCCTGTATAGTGGAGGCAGTTTACAAGGATAAACATCCAGATCTGTAACAATTATCTGTAACATTTATTATACGTGGCAGAGCCGTGTTGCAACTATTTTATGGTTGTGGCACGAATGGGTCGGCTATACTCGGGAAAGACCGGCTCGACCGGGGAAGGACTACGCTCTCACAGAGTAGAACACAGCGTAAAATAGCAGCTTAACGCTGCCGTGTTTCGTATGGTGAGTGTAGAGAATCGGAGACCCTTTTTACCGAAAACGAGGCATTCCATCTTAGTCCTCACGGGTGTTAACGCATTTGCATTTTGATTTGTAATCGAGGATAGATGTAGATGTCTATGGACCGCAGCAACCACTTACCATCAGGGGGACTGTGCTCGTTTGTGACCCTTCTCCTATAAAAAAGGTGCGGGATTCGAAATCGCGGCTCTCAATGTTGCAACTAAAGTTAAGCGACGAAGCCATAAAAAAAGTACGTAAACATATAAATCAGAACGATCAACTTATAATAATTGACATGTCACATCTTCGCTTTAGTACGCACTCAAACACTGCGATACGCAATAAAGTAAATAGAAATTGAAAAATAACAATCTACAACGTCTTCAGAGTTGGCAATAGAGATGAAAATTACCGCTTAATGCAACAATCTACCGGTACAAGTATCTTGTTAAAAGTTTCGCTCGTTCCGATTGCCGGGAGAAATGAGGTTTATGTTTGAGCTAGAAATATTACTTTATTTTGTGGATAAGGAAGGCTAATAGCAAGGCTTTGTCTCGTAACGAAACTCTGAGCTTGTTCGATATTTAGAGCTTAAAAGTAATTGAAATAAAAAATACTCGTACACCATTTCATTATATTACTGTACACAGTTTTTACTTGTTACACAACTCTATGTGTTGTTATTTTTTGAAGCCGTTGATTGTCGTCTGCTATGGGACTACTGTTATTCATCCCATGCAGGTTTCGGGCCTCGGGGAATCCCCCATTACCCGGGTTATCCTCACGGCTCATGACAATGAGCCGGTCTTGGGAGCCTTACGGCATCGTTGGTTTTCTTGGTTGGCGTATTGCGCGCCACCAGGTCGGTGCTACCGGAGGGTCGGCCGTCTCGAAGCCCCGCGGAGTCCTGAGGATGGGAGTCGACGCAGGGCCAATCTTGCCGACAGGAGGGCGTTTCAGCTGCTCCGGGCCTCCAGTGCTCCTTCCTGGCTCTATATGAAGGCCTGGCACTCCTAGGCAAAAAAAAGCTGGCGTATCTCGCGCCTCTGGGAAGGGAATCTGCCGAAGGGTCAGCAACCTCAAAGTCCCGCGGAGAGTACCTCGACGCGGAGCCGAAGTCACCAACAGGCGCGCGCACTTGGGCGCGCCGGGCCTTCGGAGTTCGCTTCCCAGCATGTAGGTGATGCGCAGCGTTAGGTAATCTTCATCCTGGGCGGGGTAGGGGCGTCCTCAAGGCTCGACGCAAGCCGAGTTGGCCCCACAGCGCGCGCACCCACTGCGAAGCGACGCGCTGTACTTCTCCCACCCGGGCGGGAGTCGACGACCGGCGGACGTGACCGCTCGTTGGCGCGGTCCGGACGAGACTCTTTTTGAAGCGTCTCCACTGTGCATGTACTGGATAACCTTTTTTACCGTCTTGAAGAACTAGGGTGTTACATGTAGTAGAACGGAGTAGAAGCGTGAAGATGGCACTGATATTTTAAATGTATTAAAAACAAAATTTTTGAATTAAATAAATAAATCAATTAAGACCTATCGAAATTCAAATCATATCCACCCTACTTTACGAACGGCAATAAAACAATTTATTTAGTAAGCATCTTTGACCTTGTCACTTTGCAGGGTTACTGGCTCAAGGGCAAAGGACAAAGAATTTGTTCAAAAAATATTTTTTAAACGTTTAATTCAAAATGTTTGTTTTTAATTTTTGCAAAATATCAATGCCAGAGCCACAGGCTTCTACTCCTTTCACATGTTACACTCTATTTTTTTCCAGACGGTAAAAAAGGTCATTTAGATACAGCCAATTTATTTTAGCAAAGAAACAATAGCTCCATGCTGCCGTTGGTCTAGTGGTCGTAGATGCGATTGTTGATCACGAGGTACTAAGTTCGAATCCCGGGTTTAGCCAATATCTGTTATTGGGTTTTCTGTCAAGAAATTCTCAGTGTTTCACCCCCGTTCATATCACCTATACACTCGGGCACCGGTCCTAGACTACGTTGAGACTGGCCGCCGGGGTCGAAATTCGGACTGGAGGACATTATTATTATTTTAAGGTTGGTTCCAAAAAATAATGTAACATAATCTGGTCCAGTTAGGTAAGTCTTTGGTTAAGATATTAACGAATATATTGACAAAGTAAAAATTTCTGAGTGAAACTCATCGTGCAACCTACAGCAAAGTATAAAACGACGTCTTCCTTCAGCTAGTTAAATATATGAGATTTTAAGAAACTTAAGACATTTGATAATAATAAAACTGTTCGTATGTGTTAATGAAAGTGAAACATATTCAGCGTTTCGTTTTGTAAATGTTAACTGACGTTGGAAGGACACAGTGTGCTTGACGCTGTTTTATTTAATACTTCTTATAATTAAGGTAATTTCTTTTTCAAAATAACTTTAGTTTGTGATAATGTGAATAAAATAAGTGTCTAGTATGCATTGAAGGAATATTGATCTTAGGAAAAGGGATTTCGATTCAATGCTATGAATAAACTACAGACGTCATGTAATTTAACAACAATTGTAGGCATTAAAGATAAACCAGTTTAAACACAATCCTGCTTGCATTACACATCACGATGAATACGGCACAAGCCCTCACAATTTGGGTCTGGATCAAATTTATATTAGAAATGGATTAACAGACTGACAGAAAAATGAAAACGAATAAAGTCAGTTGAAACATAGTATAAAGTGAAATGAACATAAAGCGTATAATGTAAGTGTATCAGAGCTTAAATCACTCTATACAATTTTAGGATCTGGAATCTGGATATGGACGTGCTTTGTAAGCGTTAGGCTTTATTCGTACTGATTACAGCAAAATATTTTTTTGTATAGGATAGGGTGACAAACAAACACACAGTCCACTTGATGGTAAGTGGTTGCTGTGCACATAGACATCTACATTTATCCTCGTTCCTCGATTACGATTCAAAATGCAGATGCGTTGTCACCCGTGAGGACTAAGATGAATATCTCGTTTCCAGTAAAAAGTCTCCGGTTCTCTACACTCACCAGACGAAACACAGCAGCATTAAACTATTTTACGCTGGTATTCTGTGAGAGCGTGGTCCTTCCCCGGTCGAGCCAACCCATACTACTACACTACTAACATAACTGCGGCATGGCTTTACCACGTATAAAAATACATACTTATAAATATACGTCGCGATGACTCTAAAATTTGCCCTATTTCTACATAGTATAAAATTTGCCCTATTTCTACATAGTATAAAACAAAGTCGCTTCCCGCCGTCTGTACGCTTAAATCTTTTAAACTACGCAAGGAATTTTGATGGGGTTTTCATCAATAGATAGAATTATTCAAGAGGGAAGTTTATATGTATGATGCATGCATATGTTGTCGATATCCAAAAATGACTTGTGCGGAGCCGGAACGAAGGGCTAGTAATGCATATTCTCGAGCTTTTATTCTTCTCCTTCAACAGCCCCTATAATATCAACTGCAGAATATGGGACTCTTTCCTTTATTGGAAGGATTTACCCTAATCGCCACGCTTGGCACGTGGGTTGGCAATCGCTGTACCACCACGTCGCTAGTAGACGACATGGTGGTACTGCAATATATCGGGATGTTATAATTTCAGTATACTTTGCATCTCATTTATGAATTTGTTTTGAGAGATTAATTTGACTTTCATTTTGATGTAAGCGTGACGAAACCCCGGGCGCAGCCCCGTCACCCACCCCTCCCTATCCCTCCGTTTCGTAACCACGGGCTGCTCAGCTTAGCCTACACTACTCAACTCGTAATTTACGACTGAGAGTCAATTAGTTCGAGGGTCCCGCTAAGCAAAACAAATTATAACTAAGAGCTTTGAACTTTGTACTTTTTCTTACAACACCACGCTAACAAAATTGAAAAAGCTGTACTTTCTGTTTTATGGTACACGATATTACAATTATTAAAACCCTTTTTATTGAATAACTTATATTTTTATAGAATTTGACTGCTTCGTTGGTTTAGTGGTTGTAGTATTGCGACTGCTGATTATGAGATCCTGGGTTTGTATCCCGGGTCGGGCCAAAAAATCAATTATTGAGTTTTTCCATTAAGAAATTCTCAGTAGCTGTCTGGAGTCAGGAAGTAGGCGTTGTTTCAGCCCCGTGCCTCGGAAAAGACGTAAAGCCGTTGGTCCTGTGCGTAATTTTTTTCCGATTGTGTCGGTTTACCGTCCCATCGGAACATGAAAAGAAGGGTATTCCCTTCCCTACCTGTGCTTGCACATACACTCGGGCACTATAATCCTGTCCTGCGCCGATGGCTAGTCTCCGTTGAGACCGACCGCCGCGACAGGAATTCGGTCTGGAGGACATTATTATTATTATTTTATTTATTAGAATCTGGGTGCTCCCCTTTAACTATGAATGAGGCATTGAGAATATATGTCGCGAATACATATTACATAACTTAACTTATACATAACTTATTTTTTACCAACTGTAAATGTCTCTAACTTTTCCTAGCCTATTCACTCTTGTCTTGAAACCACCTGGATAATAATCGAATAGAAAGACCCTACTTATGTTAAACACTCGCTACCTGAGGTGCCATAAATCATCGTTGCCCTAGTGACAGACTCGTGCGGTGCGTCACTTATCGATAACCGTTTATTAATTCCTAGAAGGATGAAGTAAAATGTGTGCTGGCACGCGGTAGTTTTAGTCGTTGCCGACCGTAATATTTCATTTTTCAACAAGTGCGGGTAATTTAAAAATTACTCTGCATAGGTAATTTAGTAATTATTAATTTCTTTTAAGGGGTATAATTATCTGTTTAAATACGCTTTTATAGTCATTTCACATTTGCACGTTGCTGATTATTGATTTAATATAAGTTAAAATGAACAGTTTTTCGAAAATAAATATTAAACTTTAAAAAAATTAAAAAATATTCAACCTCAAGTGCGCATTTTTATTTACAATGTAATAACGTTTTTAATGGAAGTCTAAAGAAAATCCCGAGGAATTGAAGAGTATTAATTTCAACCACGCTCGTGAACTAACTGCCTGGATTTGTGGGGTCGGTTTATAACATCAGACGGGAGTGCACTGATGAAGGATCAACTTGCCTACGCGAAAACATTTGCCAATCTCATCCAGAAAGAGATTTAGGTGACTTCGACAAAAGTGTATTCAAGCGAATAGTGTTATCATCTTATTCTAATGGCAAGTATCCCACCATTAAAAAGATCTTAGAAAAAGCTAAAGGAAGCATCGATGAACTAAAATGCGGAATATATTGCATGCGGAATATATTGATCGATCTAAAACAATTATACAGCTCCCGATGGAAGGCCGCAGTTGATGAAGGAGTGATATTGTTTGTGGTTGGTTACAATTTTTAAGAAAACTTGACGAATTAAGGAAAAGTGTTGACGTACGTCCACCACGTATTTATTTACGGACGTAGATTAATAGTTGTATTCATTTCATTTAGTCTAAGTACGTGTTATTGACCTATAATAAATGTAATTATTGAATAGTTCTTATTTTTCGTTTTGCATCCTTTATTTTTTCATAATACATGTACACATCGTAACGACAATGGTGCGTCACTATGCCTGCCGTAAGACCCGTATGCGACAGAGAGCGCAACAGTTGGCGTCCTGTTTCCCCATTTTATTGCACCGCAGGCAACGACGGTTTAACATTAGTATAAAAAATTATTCCGCTCCTTTGCTACAGACCAGGCATTATGAACGACGAAGCAAACCGTTTGGTTCGAATGCGTGATATGGCTACAACAAAGGGTGGAAACCAGCCGAGCGTCTAATAGTACAGCGATGGAACGGAGAGAAAGAAAATAAGTCAAATTATTATTACTATCATTAGTACTTTTTATATAATAAGGATGACAAACGGACAAGTAGCGCAGCTGCTAATTATTTGCTTCTGTGGCCCACAGACAACTACATCTATCTTCAGTTAAGGGGATATAGTAAGTCAGCTCAAATTCTAATTTCGTCCCCACTTCCCCGCGCGTCGTATGCTATGTACCGACATGTTTGTAATCACTAGTACTGTAAGTAGATAAGGTAGTTAGACACTTATTTCATTAGGTTTATCACATTTATCCCTGTTTCTACCTTATCCCTGTTTACATATTTGTCCCTTGTCGCCAACCTAGTCGCTTCTTATTTTTATTATGGTTATTTCCCATTTTAATTTTACGTGGTCCTGTTGCGTAATGTGTATTCTGATCGTTAGTGATCCTCCCCCTTCAAAGGCCTAAGCGAAACTGATCGGACGGCAGTAATCAAGCTTCATGACGCCGGTAGTTTAGGTAATTTAAAAAAGTAAATAACATAAGCACTGCTTTATAGTTAGTTCAGTTAGTATGCAAAGTTTCATGATCTAATTTAAAGTATTCTATGAATAACAGCGGTTTATTGTTTAGTTTGGAGGTAACTTAGGATTTTTTTTTCTATCGAGAAAATTTTACGGAATCGTGTTTTCGTCTAACATAGTACTTAACATAATCCTCAACTTTACTATATATGTATTTCAAAATTAATGCTGCAATATTTTCGGTATAACGGAGGATCTTGCTAAGCCATTTGAGGTAGTATTTTTAATATTTTACTTAAGATGGGTCTACGCTAGAGGAGCCGCGCGTGAGCTGAGCCACTCTACTCGCGGTGCCAAGTGTGGATGTACAACGAGCCTACAACAATGCCTCGTTTCCAGTAAGAGTCAACAGTTTTCTACACTTACCATAAAGAACACTGCAGCATAAAGCTACTATTCCACGCTGGTATTCTGTGAGAGCGTGGTCCTTCCCCGGTCGACCCGACACAATCGTGCTACAAACATAATGTAGCTGCAGCATGACTCTAGCAAGTCTACATAGTTCTCACAAAAAATATTATTTTTAAAGTTTATTTACTCATTTAAGAGTCAAGAAATGCACTATATCTACGATATTATATATACAATGCGTTCTGTTAGTTCGATAAGATCGAGCATTGATAAAGCTGTGCCTTATATGAGGGCAATTTAGCGAATTTAATGTATCGGAACCATCGCAAATCGCTCGGGGCTAGTGGAATGAGCCCTACGCTTCGACACCGTTCATGTTATTAAAGGAAAAACGCTTTTTAACGGGCAAATGTTAATTGTAATAGTCGAAGTAAATGTGTTATAGTGTAAATCAATACTTTAATATATTTTACTTACGTACTTGTTTCTCATTTGAAACATGATTTTTTTTGAAAAGAATATTAACAATGCTATTAACATTACTAATATTCCCCTTAATCACTCGTGGTAAGTTTAAATTGCTTGTGTTACGAATGGATCACGCCAGTAGTCGAATGGCGGATTCGAACCCACTACCTTTTTGAGTTCGCGGTCCGCGCCCCGCCATTAGGCTACTGTCGCTTCTACTGGCTAAAGATAGTGTGGCGTCGCTGTCGTCGCGCCACAAGCGATACACATCGAAGCCTAAATCGCGCTATCAAAGTACCGAAGTAAAACAGTTTAAGTATATGGAATAGCTCCGAACTACCACACGGAGCGTTAGCCGCTCCCCAGTAACACCTTTCACCTTGCCCGGCGGGAGATCTCCCCCATTATCTTTCACGGCCACGGTTTCCTCTCCTGGTGGCGCTGTCATCGCGCTACATTAGGTAAGGATGGAAGGAATCCTACAATAACGATTGCCAAAGGAGTTACTATACTAAATAAAATGACTCGTACAAATACAACAATGAGAGAACTCCGCCTATAGCCACGCAATTAATCCATTGACGCAGCAAATAATAATCGCTGTTGTCGTTTACAATTCACAAGTATCCTTGTAGTTCCCTGGGATACATTACCCGGAACGAGGTGGACTAAATCTGCACAGTCGGAGGGCCTTAAAAATTAATGGAAGTTAGCGAAATTCACAAGGGAGTATACTTCGGATGAATGGCCGCTACTGGCGCTAGCGATCTCCCCGTACTTAATAATTAATGGCGGTTCAGGGAATTGCGTTACTAAACTCGGCCCTCTGACATGAGCTTTTAATGCTATAGTGCGGTGTACAGACGACCCCGCGCCGGTTCTTAAGGAGGGCGCGGTCTGTATAGTGACCCGGGACGCAATATCGAAATGCCGAATGAAAATAATTTGCACAAGTATTCCAATATTTGAATTTCATTTTAAATTCATAAAATGCAACCTGATATCGGGTCGTGGTACGAGGCCACTTATGAATATGTAGTTATTTTATATGTTGTTGTGTGGGATATTAATGGGATGTTGCTGTGTTTCAAAATAAAGGTTGCTAAAAATTATGATTTTATTTATATCTACAGCTAACTGTAAATATCACAAAATATCTATTACACTACGTTAAAATCGTAGTGTTATGCGACTGCCTGTATTTGTATGAGTATTTTGGTCAGAGTAAGGCGACTGATTATTATTTTAGTCGTCAGGGGTGACAACACATCTGTATTTTGATGAGTCACAGCATCCACATACCATCAGGTGGACTGTGTGCTAGTTTGTCACCCTAATTCTATAAAAAATACAGTTCACCTCATACATCGCTTAGTATTGTATTGAATAGACTTATAAATAGTAATACGAAATAAATACTTGGATACTTGACATATCTTTCGCTTTTAGTTTTCAAGAGATATCAAACTACGCAGTGAATAGAGTAAATTCCGGTATTTTTCCGTTTATTTATTTATATTCCGGTCGAGTAAGGCGGATTTTATAGCCTCTGTCCCGAACGAAGATATTATATTTAGAACCCTTTCATCTCACTTGAATGTAACTAATTACATGATAGTCTTAGCTGTAGTTTCATTCTCAACCTCAGCCCACACTTTATACATTTTTTGAACTTTTTAAAAACATTTTACGCCACTAAAGTTTTGTAATAGAGGTTACTGAATATGTAATGATTTCTTATATCTACGTGAACACTACACATTTGAATAAAACTAGTTTTACGGATTTTATCGCGTATATTAAGAGTCTATACTATATCAAATGGCTTAGCAAGATCCTCCGTTATGCCGAAAATATTGCAGCATTAATTTTGAAATAAATATATGGTAAAGTTGAGGATTAATGTTAAGTACTATGTTAGACGAAAACACGATTCCGTAAAATTTTCTCGACAGAAAAAAAAATCCAAAGTTACCTCCAAACTAAACAATAAACCGCTGGTATTCATAATATACTTTAAATTAGATCATGAAACTTTGCATACTAACTGAACTAACTTTAAAGCAGGGCTTATATTTTTTATTTTATTTTTAAATTGCCATTGTTTTCACTGTAGAAAGAAGTTACCTAAACTATCAGCGTCTTGAAGCTTGTTTCCTGCCGCCCAATCAGTCTCGGTACGGCTTTCGAAAGGAAAAGCTGTGTCGCTTACGATCACAATACACATTATTGCGTAATAATGTGATGATCTTAATATTATTGCAGGACACATTATTGGACAGGACATATATATATACACATTATTGCAGGACGACGTAAAATTAAAAGGGAAATAACTGTAATAAAAATAAGAAGCGACTGGGTTGGCGTAAGGAAACAGGCGTAAATATGATAAACCTAATGAAATAAGTGTCTAACGACCTTTCTACTTACAGTATTAGTGATTACAAACATGTCGGTACATAGCATACGACGCGCGGGAAAGTGGGGGTTAATTTAGAATTTGAGCTGAGTTACTATAGCCCCTTAAAGTGGTACTCAAAGTGACCACTGTACCTATTGAAATGTACGAATTGAGCCAAATGAGTAATGTCTTTTTGAAAGTATATTTTATTTATGGGTTAAATCTAATTGTATAACGTTATGTTTTTCAGGCACTGTAGATTTATTTCCAATTATAGCAAATAGAAAGCTTGGTGCTCTTTGGAATCAAACAAAGAAACATTACATTACATTAGTACATTTCACTTTACTTTGGTCGTCAGTTTCTTTACAATAATAGGTCCAAATAATAGATCTCCTGCCACTCATTTTTACTATATTTTCACTAAGAAATTTTACTATTTATTTATTTATTTATTATAAATTTTCACTAAGAATAACACAACGAAATACTTTTTTTCTCACAAAAATAGTCAAAATATATGCATGTATAGCGGCAGGGTCCGGCGCTAATTCCGCGCGCTTTACGGTAACAAGTTTCGACGAGGCGATTTGGCCGAATCTTCGGCCTAATATTCATATTCGGTGAAATCCATATTCGGCCCGTCTCTAATAATTAATATATCTTTTTAACCTGTATAGTTCGCAAAACATGCATCACTTGAAGTAACGATAAGAAAGTTGTTATCTGCCTAACATATCTAAATAATTACAAAATAATTTAATATTTCATATCCGCTATCCTGTATCGTCTGGAGGCTGTCGTAAGAGACGACAGAGGGAAACAGATCAAGAGATGGGCAGCTGTATCTTAAAATAACAACTTAACATTTGGCTCGGTTGCCAACCTACCTGCCAAGCATGGCAACTATGGCAAATATTCCTCCTGAGGCAATCTTTGGGAGAGGTATTCGTTCAGCAGTGTACTTTCGATAGACTATAACAGCTATACTTTCTTAATTACTAACAGTTATACAGTTTTACTAGCTTGTAGCGTTGTTCTGACTTTTCTACGACCCTTTATCATGTCCTATTAAAATTCTTAAATTTGCAAAAAAAAATTGTGGGTTACTCTCAAGTTGGGCCAAACTGCACACGGTGTGCAAATTAAATTAAAATCTGTTTAGTAGTTTAGAAGTCCATCGCGGACAAACAACGTGACACGTAATTTATATATACGAGTGTTAAGATAGTTAACAATTTTATTATAATGATGGTAATATTAGTTAAGTTTAGTTTAATTTATGACAGACTATTTTTCGTAACTTCACGTCTAAGCGCATATGGGCAGGAATATCAGGATTATTCGAGCCATTATATTTCCTGGAGAAAGTTCAGCAGTCCCTTAATGTTGTGAGCAACTACATAAAGTGATCTCGAAGAGCAGAAATGTAGCCTTGTATTCAACGGCCTCTGGACATGGACCATAGGCTGGACCAGCAACACTTAGACCAACGTTCGAGGCTGTCTGCACCTATGATAAATAAATGTTTGTTAAAAGAGCCGTGTCCTGTAATGGCACTTGTTGAATCTCATTACATAATATCTTGGTTAAACGACTATTTGTTGCTGGCATTGCCTTCAAAGCTGAGCATGTTGTTTAGTGAAATGTGTACGTACCAGTGAAGGAATTCCAAAAGGAATGATTATGATCGGTTCCGGTCCTATGGCGACCAGAACTGTTTATCCCCTGGCCAGATAATTTGCTGCGTCCTTGACACTGTATCCAATGTGTCCTTTGATCCATTGTAGTTTATAATGATGATATATGATTTAAACTATGATTTTCAATTGTTACAGGAACACCGCGGCAAAGAAAGCGGCACATGTCTTTGAAGAGCGAGTACAGTTGAGTCCGCAGATGGCACGTTCAGTTCGTGTCACATGTAAGCTATCTAATTTTTGCTAACTTTATCTTGAAATTTTCATATAAATTTACATTCTGAATGTAAAATATAACATTATAATATACAGAATAAAATATAGTATGTATATGCAAACTCACCTGCACACTGTACAGCAAAAGCGCTTAAGCTAGACTGGTTGTAGGGAGCCTATTTTAGAGCCAGAGAGATGTCGGTTCGCTATTGAACCGTTTAGCCGGCGCACCCTGTCAGTGTGTGCACACCTTTCATTTAATTCTGGCCAACTGGCGCTCTTTGTATGAGCTAGAAAGAAACTTCAAATGGCAGGTGACGTAGCTTGTAATTTAGGGAAAATTGTAGTTTGCGATTGGAAAATGTCTATTTTTTATGACTCGCCTATTCCTCAGTTCTGTCTATTCTGATTATTACATCAAAATTGAATGTCAGAATCTTCATTAAATATTCTAGTTCTTTTTCTTTTAAAAAAACGTTACCCCCACACTAGGATTTTCTCCTGTATCGTGGAGGCAGTTTACAAACATAAATTGCACAAGGACAAACATCCAGACCCGGAACAATTACTTATAGGCAAAGATATTTTCTTGAAGGCCATACAAATACTGGTTCCTTGCGGGATTCGAACCCGCGGCCCTCAGCGCTATAACTCATTGCTAAGCTACTGCGCCACGGAGTCGGGTCGTTCTATATTCACTCGTTTGTGAAGATTTCATACTGAATGGTATTTTTTTTTTTTTGTTAAGCGATTCTATCGGAAACTTGAAAAAGTTCTTATACCAGATGATGGGAAACCATTATCATCAATTCATCTGGGGAGGTACACCCTCTTACCTATTTCTAACGCCAAATGGATAAAACAGTTGCTTGCATTGCTGTGTTCTGATCTGAATAGTAAAGAGAGCCAGAATAATTACAAGTTGAGAGGCATTGCATCTTAGTCCTCAGGGGTGACAACGTATCTGTAGCTTACTTAGATTTCAGTAGCCACTGATTATCAGGTGGACTGTGAGTCAATTTAGTGTTGTGAAACAATTATAAAGTATCAATTGTCTTTTAATCTATTTTGAGTTAGTAAATATGGCGCTGATACTTATCGACATAGTATTGCTTTGTTCAAACCTAATTAGCCATGACAGCTGCTACAATTCATATGGATCTAATTATTATAGTTTTAAATTGTTGTTTTTGTTTCTATAATTATTTGTTATAATAAACAGATAGTTGTAGACAGTCTTTTAGTTTCAAATGGCATTGATCCAATTTATATTTACGTATTTTCATACTTATTAAGAATTTCTTACAATCTCCTATTTTCTCATATACATATGTTTGTAATTATATATATTTATAGATGATCCTCATAATGTAACAAATACCGCAGAACATAGGCGCGGCGCCATGTCGTGTGGGCGGCGCGGCTGCTGCGCGGCGCTGCTGCTGGCGGCCGCCGCCTGGTGCGCAGCGGGGCCCGGCCCGCCCGCGCTGCACTTCTCCCACTCGCTCTACAACGTCAGCATCCCTGAAAACTCGCCGCCGCGCACCTATGCCGACTCGCCGCCTGCCACCGACCCGCTTGGCGTGCAACTGCCAGCGCAAGACGCACGAGTACGCTTCCGTATTCGCCATGGCGACCGCGACAAATTCTTCAAAACCGAGGAGCACACCGTCGGAGATTTCTGCTTTCTCTTCATACGCACGCGTGCTGGCCACTCCGATGTGCTTAACCGTGAACGCCGTGACTCTTACCGCTTAGACGTGCGTGCTACTGCACAGATGCCCGATGGTACGCAGCTTGAAGCTGATACAGTTGTCGTGGTCGAGGTTACGGATGAAAATGATCTCAGTCCGTTATTTTATCCGACGGAGTATGAAGCACTCGTACCGGAGGACACACCACTACACTCCAGTATTGCGCGCGTCACCGCTGAGGATGCTGACATTGGTATCAACGGAGAAATTTACTACAGCCTTGCTGAAACGACTGACCGTTTTGCGGTACACCCAACGAGTGGTGTAGTAACAATCACGCGCGCACTTGTGGCAACAGAAAACCCCAGCCATGAGATAACTATACTGGCACGAGACCGCGCGTCATTACTTATGCGCGGCGAAGATGCTCCAGCTGCTCGCGCTACGTTAGTAATTCGCGTAGCGCGCGTAAATCTGCATGCTCCAGAGCTCCGTGTAAGGCGTCTACCTGAACTTGTTGAGAATTCTACTGCTGAGATCTACGCCATTATTAAAGTAACGGACCAAGATTCCGGAGAACACGGGCGCATCGCCAGCTTAGAGATTGTTGACGGCGATCCCGATGGGCATTTCCGTGTACGGCCGTCTACACAACTAGGAGAGTATGACATTTTAGTGCATGCGTTGCTTGACCGCGAGACAGCCCCTCACGGCTATAACCTTACATTACGCGCGTCTGATGCTGGACAACCACCACGGTCCTCATATCTCACCTTGCCTGTAACGCTCATTGATGCCAACGATAACTCTCCTGTCTTTAGTCGTGAAATCTATGAAGCGAACATTCCAGAGACCGCACCACCAAATACACCCGTTATTAGACTCAAAGTTAGCGATCGCGACGAAGGTCGCAATGCACGTGTCTACATTGAGATAGTCGGCGGCAATGAAGGTGGAGAATTCATTGTCAATCCAGACACTGGCGTGCTTTATACAGCAGTTCCCCTTGACGCCGAAGAAAAATCGCTTTATACACTTACAGTTTCAGCCATTGACCAGGGTAACGCTGGAACTCGTAAACAATCTTCAGCCAAAGTTAAAATAGCTGTTGTAGACGCTAATGACAATAATCCCGTTTTTGATAAAGAAGATATGGAAGTTACAGTATTAGAAAATGGACCCAGCGGCGTGGTAGTAGCCCGTGTCTCGGCAAAAGATGCTGATTCCGGTGAAAATGCTTACCTTTCTTATAGCATCGCTAACTTACAACCAGTTCCGTTCGAGATTGATCATTTTTCGGGTGCCATACGGACAACCAAGATATTGGATTACGAGAGTATGAGACGAGAATATGTTTTAAGGATACGTGCTAGTGATTGGGGATTGCCTTATCGGCGTCAAGCCGAAATGCGACTCACTGTACGTCTTCAAGACATCAATGACAATAGACCACAATTTGAACGAGTTGATTGTGTTGGTTACCTGCCTAGACGACTAGCAATAGGACACGAGATTGTAACTCTCTCAGCTATCGATTTTGATTCCGGCGATGTCGTCTCGTACCGCATAATAGGTGGTAATGAAGACAACTGTTTTTCACTTGATTCAAGTACTGGCGTTTTAAGCCTTTCCTGTGATCTAGCTGACGTGCGAACTGAGACTAGAGTGCTAAATGTTACCGCGACGGACGGTACGCACTTCGCTGATTCTGCTTCTCTGACGTTGCACTTAGTAGGTGGCAGCGGTGGCGATAGCAGTGCGCTTGAATGTCGCGACACCGGTGTGGCGCACCGTCTAATCGAGTTACTAGCCGCAGCAGAACGGAGCAATGCCCCCATAGACTTTGCCGAAGATTTTCCCCTGGCACCTTCTCGATATGGAGAAAATCTGCATATACCTGAATTCATCGACTTCCCCGTCGAGGTTAAAGTAAACGAGTCCGTAGCCTTAGGTACATCACTGGTGCGCTTGCGTGCTCGTGATCGTGACCTGGGCTATAATGGACTCTTAGTGTACGCTATTTCAGGCGGCGACGCCGACTCTGCCTTCCGTATTGACCCAGACACTGGCGAACTCAAAGTAATCGGATACTTGGACCGTGAAAGAGAAAGTGAATACTATTTAAACGTGACTGTCTATGACTTAGGTTTACCTCAACGCTCTAGCTCACGACTACTTCCAGTAACTGTACTAGATGTAAACGATAACGCTCCACGTTTCGAGAAAACCCTAGCGAGTTTTCGTGTCACAGAAAATGCTATAAATGGTACCGCGATATTTCGATCAAATGCGACGGATCGCGATGCGGGTGAATTTTCCCATATTACTTACAGTTTAAGTGGTGCCGGCGAGGGCGAGTTCTGTGTAGAGCGCGACACGGGCGTTTTAATGGTGTGCGCTGCCCTTGACCGCGAGCGGCAGGCACTGTACGAGCTCACGATTCGCGCCACGGATGGAGGTGGCTTGCGCTCCGAGGCACTGGTGCGCGTTGCGGTAGACGACGTAAATGACAACGTACCGCGCTTCGCTCTCTCTTCATACAGTGCGCGCGTACGCGAAGACGTGCCTGTAGGGACACCAGTGGCTGTTCTTGAAGCTTTTGATCCTGATCTCAGCGCAGGCGGAGTAATCACTTACACGCTGCCCGACCAGTCTCCCGACAACATCGTTTTCACAGTTGACAGTACCTCAGGTACTATCCGTACTGCAAAATTGCTCGACTACGAGGAAAAACAGGTTTGAATATATTAAACTATATCGTATTTTTAAGAAGTTAGTTAAAAAGTCCACTAAATATTTCATTCTTCAAATATGCAGACTTCCTCAAGACGAATCACCAATCAGCCAATCACCGCTAGTCAAGTGGTGTATCAACACTTATGGCATTTAACAATTTCATTAGTACAAAAAATTATCATTGTAAGTTATAACACAGTTAACTTATCAAAGAAAGTTTTAAATATCGCCGTCACTTTTGAATTTGACAATCATAAAAATACATATTATAGGTAGATAGATAGAAAATTTATTATGCTTAAAAACATGATACATAAGCTGGCTGACATGTTTTGCCATAATTGGCATGCAAAAATTATATGAACACACAGTTAATTACACTAAGACAATCTTACATTTTTAAAATTATTTCATTGCTTAAAATTAAGTACAATCTTTTTGAATTTAAATATTATGTACAATTAAATATAAGTATTTAATTGTACATAATCACATCCAATCTATTTGAATTCTTATTCATACATTATTAATTGAATTATTACATTATTGTTACATAATTTAAATTCTTTAAATTACCTCTTACACATTTTTTATGTATGATAAATGCCTTACCTATATCTGGAGAAGTTCCCCATAATATAAGGCCATATCTCAGCAGTGATGCGACACAACCGTAATATGCGGTTAAGGGAAAATAATATAACCGCAAATGGCTTAGCAAGATCCTCTGTTATGCCGAAAGTATTGCAGCATTAATTTTGAAATAAATATATGGTAAAGTTGAGGAATAATGTTAAGCACTATGTTAGACAAAAACACGATTCCGTAAAATTTTCTCGATAGAAAAAAAATCCAAAGTTACCTCCAAATGAACAATAAACCGCTGTTATTCATAAAATACTTTAAATAAGATCATGAAACTTATACATATTAAACATAACATACTAACTGAACTAACCATAATGCAGTGATTATGTTATTTACTTTTTTTAAAATACCATTATTTTCACTGTAAAAAGAAATTACCTAAACTCGGCGTCTTGAAGCTTGATTCTTGATTCTTGTCACCCCGTTAGTATCACAGAGTACCTTTGGCTTATGCTTTTGAAGGGAGAAGTTGTGTTGCTTACGATCAGAATACACATTACGCAACAGGACGACGTAAAATCAAAATGGGAAATAACCGTGATAAAAATAAGAAGCTACTGGGTTGTCGTTAAGAAACAGGCATGAATATAATGAAATAAGTGTCTAACGACCTACCTACTTACAGTATTAGTGATTACAAACATGTCGGTACATAGCATACGACGCGTGGGGAAGTGGGGACGAAATTAGAATTTGAGCTGACTTACTATATCCCCTTAACGCCGTTTTTTAGTTGTATATCTTAAACGCCTAAGGACATATACGAATCTGTCAATTTTGTGCAAATGCTTTGTATGTGTGATTTACAATTGCAATGTTGTGAAGAATAATTCCCAAAAATTTGGTATCCCTGTTTCTTGAATTTCTTGTTCATGGCAAACTATTTTGAGATTCAGTCAGTAGAGAACCAGAAACCTCTTACTGGAAATGAGTCATTCCTTCTCAGTCCACAGGGGAGATAACGCATTTGCATGTTTATTCCTAATTGAGGATAAATGGAGATGTCTACGGGCTACAGCATCCATTTACCATCAGGTGAACTGTGTGCTCGTTTGTTACCTTATTCTCTACAAAAATATCGCGCGTGTGCAGGTGTACGGCGTGACGGTGCGCGCTACAGATGGGGGGCGACCGGCACTGTGGGGCGAGGCCACGCTGGTGGTGGAGGTGGGCGATGTGGATGAAAACCGGCACTCGCCTCAGTTCGAGGCTCGAGGTGCGCTGGCGCTGTCGGTGAGCGAGGCCGCGGTTCCGGGAGCGACCGCCGGCCAACTGCGGGCAGCTGACGCGGACCCACCCGGCCGCGACTCGCGCCTCTCCTACTACGTGCTCGACGGGTCCGGCATGCCGCACTTCTCCGTGGATGACACCGGTTTGTGGCCTCATATAAACACTCACGCACACCTCGAACGCGAAGCGCATGGGTTGATTTGTCAACGTCACGCTTCACGCTCACATTCAAATCGGGTTGATTAGTCAATCAACTACTACCGCCTCGTCGGTCTACTGATCGTGTAGTCCCGGGTCGGTTCGGTAAAATCAGTTATTAAAGTTTTCTGTCAAAAAAACTCGAAATAGCAGGAATGGCAGTGTTTTACCTGCGTGCCTCGTAAAGCCTTTGGTCCTGCGTCGGATCTCTATCAGGTCGTGTCGGATTGTCGTCCCCTCGGACTATGAGAGTTAAGGAATAGGGAGTGCACATGTGCTTGGACACTACAATGTCGTGCGCAGATCTGCTAGTCTCCGTTGAGATCTTCCGCCGTGATCGAAATTCGGTCTGGAAAACATATTATTTTACCGCTCTAAACCGTTGAGAAAACACATTAATATCAAAGAGAAACACTGATGATTGAAACTTATCGCTTTTATTAATTAAAGATATTATACTATAAAAAAACTATAAAAAAACAACGAAAAATTTTTCGTTGTCCATTAGTTGCTGGTAAAAAATTGTATGTTAATAAAAATACCTCAAAGGCGACTTGACGAAATTATCTAATTGCACGCCTCATAAGCGAAGAATGGAAATTCAGTAATTTTTTGAGCTAAAAATATCTTTATTATGTTGCACTTTATTATTATGCACTTTTCGAATATTAAAAATACACATATAACTAAAATCACTCGTTTTCATGTTCTATTATTTTAAAAGTAATTTTCTGTATTTAGTGTAAAAACAAACTGTCTGAAAAAAAATTTTCGATGGTGCCCGATGTTCGATGGTTGTTAGAATTATTGTATCAAAATAATTCTTTTTTTAATCACAGGTTCCTTTTAAAAATCACTGAGTTATTTGGTCTCCTTTAATTATAATTAATGAAATTATAAAAAACAATTGCTACTTTTCTACAAAAAATATTCTCATGGATCTCTTTCTTCGTCTCAAATATGGAAAAAGAGATATTTTTCTTTTTACATAATCAAATGAGGATTTTCCAAACGTTTTAGATAATAGTGTCGGGTGATTAAATAAATTCGCATCTAGCATTGGTTATACAAGGTAATGTTTTTATTTTTCTTAAAAGTGCGTCCATATTTGACATCTAAAATATGTTTTGTAGCAAAACAATAATTATAAATATTTTTTTTTCGTAACAAAAACCTATATTTTAAAATCCTGGGATGTTTCTAACCAATAAAACGAACATAGACTGAAATGTGTAAGTAATTTCTTCTGGGTCAAGAAAGTCACAAAGATGTCAGTCATTATTTTACTTTACAGAAACTTTCACGTATTAACACTATTTTGTTTATATGTTATTGTATTAACTATATACGTAATTGTTGTTGAACACATTGTGCACGTGCACACACACACACAGGGCTGGTGCGCACGCTAACACCACTGGACCGCGAGACGGCGCCGCACTACTGGCTCACTGTGTGCGCGGAAGACCAGGGCCTCGTACCGCGCCATGCCTGCATACAGGTAATTACACTGCAACTATGCATAGTTACATCGACATAGATTTAACTCTGCCGTGTGGTGGCGGTTAAGAATATCCCCTACCCCATATCTTCCCGTGAGTGTCGTAAAAGGCGACAGAGGGAAACAGGCAGCAACTGCGTTGTACTGAGTGTACAACCAGTGCGTGTTGCCTGTGACGATTTATGAATCTGAGACGTGGTCCTTCACTGCTGGCCGTGTGAGGTCGCTCAAGGTCGCTCAGCGAGCTATGGAGAGGGGTATGCTCGGGGTTTCTCTGCGTGATAAATTTAGAAATAAGGATGTCTGTAGTAGAACCAGAGTGACCGACATAGCCCAACGGATTAGTAAGCTGAAGCGGCCATATAAATCGAGGTCCGACATCCGATGGGGAAGAAATGTTCTCAAGTGGCAGCCTCGTACCGGTAGGCGTAGTGTAGGGCGACCCCCCACTAGATGGTGTGACGACCTGGTAAGACATGTGGCTCAGGACCGTGCTTTGTGGCATTCCTTGGGGGAGGCCTATGTTCAGCAGTGGACTTGTGAAGGGCTATAATGATGATGATGATGAGATTTAACTCTTCAAACTCCGACGTTTCTTCAAAATCTTACGTCTGAAAGTTTGTGTCCGAATCATGACTGTCATTGTGCAGATTTATTTCTACATCTCTTGCCTCTGTTTTTGGTACCCTCTATTTTAGTCCTCAGAGAATATAAAATGTATCTGTGACCTCGTTTGCTTCAAGTTCAACAAGTATTAGTGTTTATGTCCAGTTGCCACTCACGTTTAAGTTAACTTATTAAAAAGTTATGTATCCAAAATAACTAGCTTGAAAATAGACATCCCAGATGGACCAGACGCTTATGATATTCCTCTTGAAGAACGCATTACAATATTATCATAATATAAAAAAACTTAGAATACATAATCTTAATAAACTTACTAAGACTACATAATCCTCTGCACTTTTTAAATAAAACCATTTTCAACCAAACAAAATATTTTTTTAATAATGGCAATAAAAAGTTTTGATATTATGATTACGGCATCATAATTAGACATAGTGTTAATTAAATACATATTCTATCTAATGAATTCTAGTACATTTCTCTAATATGCGTATGTTATATTCTACTGTTTTAGTGCCATCTGTGGCAACCATTGATTTATATATTAGACTAGATTAGTAATTACCGCGCCAAAGCATTGCCACTGCACATATGGCCACAGCCATATGCCTAGCTAACGTCAGTTCAGTGTTCAATGTGACGCCGACAGGGCTGAGCCGAACAATGCGCGACAAAAAATTGGTAAATGTGAAGTAAAAGAATGCGATTCAAGGTCACAAAAACATAATAAGTCAAGCGGAATCACTTTCCATACTAAAGTTGTAGTTCATGTTTTCATATAAACGTAAAAACCTCAAATAGTTAAATAAAATTATGGAATATTGCGATTTACGTTAAATGTTGCCACTTTTCTGTCTTTGTGATTATCCCACATTAACGTTTGACTATATAATTAATGGAGTAAGTTAATTTGTTACCTCTGATTTTAATTATTTTGGAATATAAAATAAAAACTACGTTTTAACTTTCATACAAAATAATTATGTTCGATGACGCCTCCTCTGTGTTTGTATACTATGTGGTCATGAATTGACGGAACGAATCACACGAGTTTTAACCTTCCGGGAGAAAAATAATATTTTTACTGGTATCCCAACCTATATGAACTTAACTCCCACTGGCAACACTATACACCTTATGTCGTTGTGAATTTTTCGTGCCGAATTAGCGAGTCGCATCTTCAAATTAAAAAATTTAAAATTGGTTTTTAAGTGAAAGTATGTAATTTTTGCATTTAAATAACTTGTAGGGTAGATAAATTATAGCGCGAAATGTGAAATCTATATTTGAAACAGAACGAGCATGTGTAAGTACATAATTTTTCAATAAATTAATATGAATATTGTGTTAATGTATTGGATACGTATATTGCATAAGTATTTAAAAAACCTGTAGGGTAGATTAATAAAATAGCAACATAAAATCAATGTATGATACAGAGCAAAAGAGGGAAACCCAAGTGACTTCTTAATTAGTACAGTGTTTTGTTTTAAAAAGATCAAAGGATCTTCATAAATCTAAAACAAACATTCAGATATCTTTATAATATTGGGATCTGTCTCCATCAGTAACAACTCACTAGACATGCAATAGCCTCCAGCAGTTGCTTTATATCAGCAAAGGCGATACTATCAAGTAATATGTGGCAAGTGCCAAGCCCAACCATCAAAGAAAAAAGAATAAAGGTAAACACAGCTAAAGAAGTAAGCAAATTCACTTGACCTTATTTTATTCTAAAATATTATTAAAAAAAACTTTCTCATAGTAGATCGACAACAATACATTAGTGTAAGTCAAGCAAGTCCTCTCACATATATTGAGTTCAGTATGTCAGAAAATATTGTATTTAATACAGCTGTAAATTTAATTAAAACAAGACTAGTCATTATTTTGTTTTTAGTTATTGGTAAATACCATGATATGATATATACATAGATGAAGAGATTCAGAAAATGAAAAGTGGACAGTTCTAGAATTGCTGTTAATTGGATAAGAAGTTAATTTAAAAAAAATCAATACCTTAATAGTACATTTAAATAACTTGGTCTTAACATAAAAAAATTATAGCATTTTCATACCTGAAATGATTCACATGAATGATAAGTCAATTATTAAATTACATTCCACTACAATCATATAAGAAATTTGCTAATTTAATAGACAAATTAATATCTGTTTGTCCAGCTATCTTTTATGGGTAAATGTATACAAAACAAATAAAATGTATGAAAAGAGAATAATTTTGAATATAAATTAATACTGAAAAATCATATTCAGATTTCAAGTAATCCAATTACAGGGGGTGCATATAAAATGAAAATCCTTTCAGTACATAATGAATTTGTTTTTACTTTTGATCATAATGTTTTGTTATAATCCCCATATTTAAAATTTCTTATAAAACTACAGCTATATCATACATAAATCACATGGGTGGTGTATAGTAACCACATAATATTTATTAATAATAGTAAAATTGATCTTCTGAAATATATGTATTTCTTTTTTGCCTTTTAAATAACATTTTAAGGTTATTCTCTCATATGCGAAGAATCCAGGAAAACTAATGACGAAATAAAATAGTAATCAAATTCCTAAACCTACAAAAAGATTGTCTATAACATTTTATCTAAAAGTAATAGATAAACTTAAGTTCATGCATTTGCTATTAGAAAAAATATAAGTGCATAAAATTCATGGGTTAACCCTAAGTTTTATGCACTATTCTCCACAATTTTCAAACGGAATACAGAAGAAGGAATAACCTTCTAGTCTTCATAAGCCTGTTACTAAATCATTGTTAAAAAAACAACTTATTAAAATTCTTTTCCTGGTCAACAACTATTTGTAAGATCTCCTTTGATCTACACATACCTTGCTGTGGTAGTGCTGTAAAAGAGGTATTTATGTATGTAAAGCATAAAAATAAGCCCTTGTCTGTATATACAATATGTCTATTGTCTAAAGTCGTGATAGATAAAGTGAGAAATTTACTTGTTGTTCTTCCTATTATGATTTGGGCTCATACTGTGAAGTTAAACAGTTCCTTTCTGGTGTTTATAGGAAGAAAAATAAAAACAAGAATACAATCAAAGTTTAGGTCTAACATAATTTGGTTAACAAAGCTGAATTTCGTCAAAAAGAAAAAGCAAAGAAAATACAGTAGTAAGAGAAAATATGAGTATTTTTAACCGACTTCAAGAAGGAGGAGGTGTTCAGTTCGACTGAATGTTTTTATGTGTGTTGTCTCATAGCTTTTCTCTGGCTGAGCCGATTTTGATGAGTGTTTTTTTATTTGAAAGCCGGTGCTTCAAGTGTGATTGACTCATGTAGATTTAATCGGGATCTGACCAGTGCTTTTTGAGTTGTTCTTAATGCGTATATGATTAACTTTGAATACATTGATGATCTCCTCATTTTATTTATATTGAAGTCGGTTGTGTAAAGTTTTTAATTTTGCAACTTGTATCAGTTACCTCAAAATATCACTTGTATGTCACTAAAACTGTATGAGTTGTTAATTTTGAAAACTATTTAATATCCCTGCTATAAATAAAGCAGCTAATTTGGTAAAGTATTTTAACAAGAAAATACATTCCTTTTTACTTTACATATTACCAAACATTCATTCCCTTCTCGTCCTAGAAAAAGTGGTATTGATGATATTGAAAGTGTTAAAAAGACAACAATCTTACATCCGAAACTTTTTCCGTTTGTTGTAGGAGGCCATTATTAATTAAGAGCATTTAAAAAGTATAAAATAAATAAACAGTTATTCATAATGGGAATTTATATTATCTAAATTTATATATTATGCTTACTGCTTACATTTTAATTATTGTTTCCTAATTCTAGTGGATAAAAATTCACAATGACATGAGGTGTATAGTGATGTCAGTGGGAGTTCATATAGGTTGGGATACCAGTAAAAATATTATTTTTCCCCCGGAAGTTTAAAACTCGTATGATTCGGTCCGTCAATTCATGACCACATAATATACAAACACAGAGGAGGAGTCAACTTCATATAATTTTGATCGAAGGACACTTACAGGTATGTTACTTTGATCAAATAATTAATTATTCTTATTTTAGTTTATTCATGAATGATCTATTAAATATATTTTATTACCTATTTTATAGTAATGATTTTATATTGGTTACAATTTTGTTTTTATATAATTTTTATATTAATTATATTTTATTACCTATTTTATATTGTATGATTTATTAGTGCAGAAAAAATACTTATAAAAAATATGTTTTATTACATCAGTTATGCTAACTTCTATTCACCTGATAAGAAAATATACTTTTTTAAATAAAAACAATTAAGCAGCAGCTTAAAAAAACTCCTTTTTATCGTATTTTGGGTTAAATTTCTTAAAGTATGCCACACCAACCCGCGATTGCATATTTGGTGTGTCTATCTTTATATAATCTTAGCGACGGTATTGTTTTCGCAACTTGTGTAGGTGAGACAGATATATGTTTATTTAAAATGTTTAGTAATTTCAAAGCTACATAGTCGCGGTTAGATAGTGTTTACACTTTTTTCGACGCGCGGTAATGTGGTCTATCTATAATGTGGTCTATAATGTGGTAGTGTGGTCTATAAGGTTTTGTGGTCTCCTCTAGTTTTGTATAACTCAATGGTTGCAACTAAGTCATAAAGCCGTCCTAATAAAGTTGTTAATGAATAACCTAATTGTTGTTAGTTATTCTACGAGTGTTTAAAGTGAATCTTATTCGGCAATAAATAAGGTTTACATCGAAGTGGAGGACGTGAACGAGCTGGCGCCGTGGCCGGAGCTCGCGGCGTACAGCGCGCGCGTGGCGGAGCAGTGCGGCGCCGGCACGCACGTGGCCACCGTGCGCGCCGCGGACGGCGACGCTTCGCTCGCGCCCTCACGCGTGCGCTATGCCATCGTGGCCGGCAACCCTGACGGCCTGTTCGCGATTCACGAGGACACCGGTACCCTCACCACTGTCCTTGTTAACTTCTACCGTTCGTGGAAGAAAACTAATTTTACGGATTTTATCGCGATAAATTTTAACTTCTTGAATTAGCGACGTTTCGAGCACTTTACAGCACCCATGGTCACGGAGGAAACTCCATGGGTATTGTAAAGTACCCGAAACATCGGAAATAAAAATAAAAAAGCGTTTTCACACGCTGTAGAAGTGAAACCTTCAGAAACACGCGAGATAATTAGAAACACTGTATACAGTATTCTATCTCAAATGGCTGGCCAAATTCTATTCGTAGATGCATGTGTTTGTCTCTTTTTAGTGATGATTTTTTGTTTCTTTGAAATTCAAATCAAAATGATTCTAGAGAAATTTTCACTACGAAAAAATGTGTCCAGGTTCACACAACTAAACTTCGAGAAAACGAGATCAGGAGTAGGATAATCGTATGGTTTATGTAATTAAAATATAAATAAATTTATAGTAAACATTGTATACAGTATTCTATCTCATTTTCTCGCAGGCTAAGTCCTACAGTTGTATGTATGTATTTGTGCCTTTTTCCTTTGGTCGAATTTCAAATTACCACGACTAAAGAAGTTTTCACTTTACAAGTTAACAGTAAACGCGATAAAATCCATAAAATTCTATGTGTAGTATTCGCGTAAATATAAGAAATCATTCTGTGATTCCGTCACGTTCACATATTAGGCTCAGAGCGGTTGACTGTTAGCGTTTTGACGCAAATTGCCTATTGTTTTTTTTTAAATAGAAGAGGGGGGGGGCAAACGAGCATGCGGCTCACCTGATGGTAAGTGACTACCGCCGCCCATGAACCAAGCAACACCAGGGGAATTGCAGGTGCTTTGCCGGCCTTTTAAAAAGGAGTAAGCGTATAATATTTCAAGCCTTGTATGCATTGTATAGTGTGAGCTCTTTTTAAAACAATATTGGGCGCTATTTGACCGCAAGTACTATAATAAATAATTAACTAACTAGCAATTTGCTGCATGCCTTATTTTGAGTAAAGAGGTTAAGAACCCTTTTATGGTTCTTACAATTCACGAAGTCGAGCGGGCTTCACTTGTTGTAAACAGTATCTGTATACGTGTCAAAGTGTACGTGAGATCAAAATCGAGGGCACGTTCGCAACTGATCGCTCCAACTGAAACGCACACACGTTCAACCGCGAATAAAACTCGCTTGACTTCGTGAATTGCAAGAACTATACTAACCTAAACCACTTTAAGTCACTGGAAATAGCATCTACGTCTTGATTGATATCGAGTAGATTTGTGGTTAAAACATATAATAGTGGTGTAAACATATTCACCACCCTTTATCGTCTCATGGGTGTCGTAGGAGGCGATAAAAGGAAGCTGCAACTGGGGATGGGCACCAGCATCTTACTGACGACAATGGAAATGAAACAAGTATTAACCACCGCAGTGGTTGTCAACCAGCCTGCTATGCGTGTTTAATATGGTATGGTCTTCCTATGAGGACATCTGTTAGGGAAGCCTATAGCTACAGCGGATAGCCTGTATGAAGTCATTTACCATCAATTAGTCTCGTTTAGTAAATTCGTATTCGACTAGGTTCGCTACTCGAATCTTTTGTATATTGAATAAAACTATTTTCACAGATTTTATCGCTTTTAATGTTACTTACTTTTAAATACCCACGTTTCGCGTGCTTTGTAACAACCACGGTGGACTGAGGTGATGGACGTACCGATGTCAAATTTAACCTGGAGTACCTTCTGCTTTTAATTAATATTTTGGTCCGATCTATGGAGAATGATCTTACTGTGTCATGAAGACTTACTGTGGTATGCTTGGGTTTAGTTTTAATTTTATTTATTACAGGATCCCAAGCAGGTGGTAGTGCCCAGCCTCATTCTCTATTAAAATTATACGTGGTAGTACTACGCTGCAGCTATATTATGGTTGTAGCACGAATAGGTCGAAGGTCGGTGGGACCACGATCTCACACAATACCAACGTATAAAATAGCAGCTTAATGCTGCTGAGTTTTGTATGGTGATTGTAGAGAACGGGAGACCCTTTTTACTCGAAACGAGGCATTACATCAGGGGTGACACCGCATCTGCATTTTGATTTTTCATCGAGGAGAAATGTAGATGTATATGGGCCACCCTTATTTCAATAAAAAATAATGTGGATAGATCTTTTGGATATTCATTTTAAATATTGTTGATATAATTGCGTGTGCAGGTGAGATCGTAACGACAGGGCGTACGCTGGACCGTGAGACGGCGGCGACGCACGCGCTGGAGGTGTCCGCGACGGACGGCGAGCTGGTCTCCAGCGTGCGCGTGCGCGTTGCACTGACTGACCTCAACGACCACGCGCCCGCCTTCACACAACGCTTCTACGACTTCCGCGTGCCCGTACGGGATGAGGTACCGTACCACATCCATTTTATTTAAATAAAACCTCTTTAGAATCGTGATTTGACCCGATGAAACAAAAAAGACACTAAAAAGAGACAAACATATACATCTATAGAATTCAACCTGCGAGAGAATGAGATAGAATACAGTATACACTGTTTCCTATTATCCCAGTCTGCTCTTCGTATAGTGCTTTAAAAACGGTTAATATAACTTTTAACTCTTAATATCAAAAATTGAAATAATAATAATAATTTTTGTATTTATTTTATTTTATTGATATTTATGTATATTTATCTTTTCATTTTCATTTATAATTATATATTTATAGATCCCAACCAGATGAGAAAACTATATAGATACCCCCCAATGTAATAATGTCATCCAGACCCAATTTTGGCCACGGCGGCCTGCCTCAGCGGAGGCTAGCCATCGGCGCAGGACAGGATTATAGTGCCCAAGTGTATGCGCAAGCACAGGTGCACTCTCTATTCCCTCACTCTCATAATCCGATGGGACGGTAAACCGACACGACCGGAGAGAGATCAGGCGCAGAACCAACGGCTTTACGTGCATTCCGAGGCACGGGGTGAGACACCGCCAACTTCCTGACTCCGGGCAACTACCTAAAATTTCTGGACGGAAAAACTCAATAATTAATTTTTTGGCCCGACCCGGGATTCGAACCCAGGACCTCATGATCAGCAGTCGTACTACTACAACCACTAGACCAACGAGGCAGTCAAAAAATGTAGAAAAAAATTCTTAATTAAGAGGATATAGTAAGTCAGCTCAAATTCTAATTTCGCCCCCACTTTCCAACGCGTCGTATGCTATGTACCGACATGTGATCGTAAGCGACACAACTTCTGCCTTCAAAAGCCTAAGCGATACTTCTTTTAACAGAATTACTTTAAAGGGATCAGAAATCAACTTTAATATTACTTTAATTTTTAGGTATTTGTACTCATTATCTCTACTCTCATTATCGTAAAAACTAGCCTTTTTACCTAAATCGTTAGTATTTTTTTTCTCATCAACTTTATTTAGTTTTCAATAAGTTTTTCATCTAGTCATAACCAGTATTTTAATTTAGCATTCACCGAAGTACACCTTCAGGTCACTCCACAAAGTTCAAGACGTATATTTATATAATAAATCCTACTACTTTTAGCGAAACAATATATTGTAATGAAAATCCGTGATTATAAAAATAATAATAATATCTTACCTTAACTTTGGTTTTTGGAATATTTTGTATTTCTACAGCGATCGATAATTTCATCACATGCCGCTGTAAAGAAACGATACAGTACGCTCCGAGCCCGGAGTGAGTCAAAATGTATCTGTATTTAGTAAAATATATTATTACAAGGCTACTCAAACACCGAAAATATCAGAATTTCTCAGCCGAAAAATATTAATTATAACTAAACAAAATAAAATTATACAGCCATTTACATTCCATGGCTTCCCCACATGATAGATGAAGAGATTAAAAAATAGATTGAGTTGAACAATTGATATTTTCAAAAGTTATCGTGTGCTCCCCCCATGCGGACTTGATACATCTACACATAAGCCACTAAAACAACTTTAAAAATAGCAATTAATTGATTTAAAAAAAATTCTACAATTATTTATCTTTCTGACAATGTTGTTTTATATCATTTATATGTTCAATATAATTGTAAGATACGATTTCATGCGACAAAATTGTGATTTTTAGTCGCTGGTAGAACATGTCTACGTACTTTGCGCTTAAGGCGTACAATTATCATATCCAATCCATTCATAACAATCCACGACTTCATAACTCACCGATCTATATTAAATTAGTCGTGTTTAGGCTATCGCGTCTATTTTACGTACCAACCTGAGAGTCGATAAATTTTTGTTCGATAAAACTGCTGTACCTATAGAGTGAAGTAGATGGCGCCAATACTAAGCAACTTTACTCGCAATTTTCTGAAGGTTTTACTCCTACCGCGTGTGAATTACACACATGTTTTTTATACAATTATGGTCTCCAATACTTTTTCTGCCAACCGAGCGTTCCTGAGCGTGCCTCTCCCCCGGGCGTCTTCACACTTTAATCCTTACATCATCTAGTTTCTGGCAAAATCTAGACTAATCTGTGAATAGAACTTGACTCCAAGCTTCGTCATTGCAACTTTCGTAAAAGCGAGCAAATTTAACTCGAGCCACTCGATGGCGTGTGGTAAGAAGGGGACGTCTGACAGGCAAGTGATAATTTATTCCGGCCGATTTCAGTCTTATTATCACAGTTTTTGTGCTTATTGTACCCCCTCGAACTTCTTGGAACTTCGTTCTTACCTTAGAAGTTAAGGTCCGTTTTCTATGCACGCTGGTAACGATAAACCCGTCATCTCTGGCCACAGTTTTCCGTTTACGTCCCTTTCTGCATATCTCATATACTGACAACTCTGTGTACCACAGATTTTGCTACTCGTAATTATTGGGCCACGTGTTTGTAGAAGTGTCCAGTTTTAATATGCTATATTACGCAATAATTACATAAAAACAAATGATATTCGAAAATGTCAGTATTCTAAAACTTTAATTTCTGTAATAGCATTTACTAATGGGCCAGTACGCACGATAATTACAACAGAAGAGATTTAACTTTTTTTGCGTTTTTCTAAATTTGTCCATTTATTGTATTAGCCCAGTAAGATCATGTTATCAATTGTATCGGTTTCAGGATGATGAAGTGGTGACGGAGGGTGCAGAAACTAGCGCTGAGGGCGAGGGACAAGGAGAAACTGACAGCGAGGCGGAAGAGGAGGACGAGCGTCTCATCTGGGATGAATGGGACGAGCCGGATCCTAGTGACATTTACGTTGCCACGGTTTGAAGCTTTAAAGTTTTTGGTATGGAATGTAGAAGTAAGGAGTACAGACTGTGTATTAAAAAGTGTCCATAAAAACCTTTAAATAAGGGTGGCGCCACTATAGCTACGGGGTAAATTTTAAAGAACGCACCGAAAAATATTAGTGGGATAGACTACTTTTTCGAGGTTATATTTACTAAATAAAATTATTTTAGATTTTAGAGCTACTGAGCAGTTTAGCAGCACACTTAAACTGCTAAGTTCATTCCATCATCCTAGCAGCTACTGCAGCGCTGTTGTGGAGAGTTTTTGAACTGTTATTTACTGCTTACAGATGACCACTTTTTCAACTATTCTAGTATGGGAGTTGGAACTCCTTACTTCTACACTCCATAGTTTTTGGGCATTTGAATGACGTTATTTATACCTTTGGATTAAAGAATAAAATAATAAAATAGTAATATAATTCTTATCAAACATATATGTATTTTAAAATCGGAGAGTTCACAAAAGAATACGCGTTACCATGAAGCATATCCATTATAAACATTATTCGATTGGACGTGTATAATCAGTTATTTTACTTTTAAAAAGACGGTAAAGCTCTTTACACTACACTAACATTCCTTTAAAAAATTCACTGTCATAAATGTCATGTCTATATGTACATATATACAACACTAATGGGATCACCAGTATGTTTTTTTTTAGTTTTAAAAGTGGTAGTTGTAATAACTGTACTCGTGGCAGGTGTTGGCGCTGGACAGCGACGAGGGCGAGAATGGCACAGTGCGGTACAGTGCGCGCGCGAGAGGTGCGGCGCGTGGCCTGTTGCGCGTGCGTGCGCGCTGCGGCCGACTGTACGCCGCGCGGGCGCTTGCCCTGCGGCGCCGCGCGTACGACCTCACCGTGAGTGTCGCACACATGTAACTTCATACACATAACAACACAAGTAAACATAACATAGAGGCGCGCACGCTGCGGCCGACTGGGTGAAGAGGCATCGTTGAGTTTCATGTGAGTGATATATCGACTGAAACTACGTGCGTCATTGTGAATCCACGGCGGCCGCATTTCCTATCAAGTCAGCAAAACTGCCATGTAGAAACGATGTTGCATTATTGTGTGAAGCTATGCGGTGGCCTTGTAATTCGCGACTTTTATGGGGGCATCCATATAACAAGTATGTAGTAGTGAAGTGGCATTTGTTGTGCGTACAGGTGCGTGCTTGCGACGGCGGGCGGCCCGCGCGCTGCGCGCTGAGTCGCGTGCGAGTGCGCGGCGTGCGGGCGGGCGGCGGACGCGCGCCTCGGCTCGCCTCGCCTGCGCCGCTGCAGGCCGCCGAGCTGGACGCGCCCGGCTTCCTGCTGGCGCTGCTGCAGGCCACCGACCACGATAACGACGCACTCTACTACGACATCGTCGGTCAGTGACCCGCACCCGGCCCCGCCGCCGCCTGCACTTTAATAGAGCCATGCTGCAGCTATGCTATAATTGTGTCATGAATGGGCTGACTCGAGTGAGGAAGGACCATCCTAAGTGGACAAAGATTACTAGCAAACAAGCATACAGACCATCTGTTGGTTAATGTAGCTGTGGCCCATCTACACCTACGTCTGTCCTCCATCAATAGAGTTAATTTTATAGATACATTGTAGAGCCATGCTGCAGAAATATTATGGTTGTAGCACGAATGGTGTACGGTGCAAGACCGTGCAAATACCATCGGCATTTCAGTTATTAGCTAATTAGACACTGTGCTGCGACTGACCTTTAATATTAAACGCCGTCTACTACCATCTCGAGACGGCGAGGCCGGCTCTGCTCTTTCTGACCGAGACGCAGGTGTCCTCTCCAGCTGATGCTACGTATCTCTCTTACTCTGTTCTCGACGCCTCGGCAGTCTTGAAGGTTCGGACCTGTCCATCCTTTGGCTACACGTAGACAACGACGACCATTCGCGCGTCTACGGGTGCCTCTAAGGGTCCCATAGCAGTAATGCTGAAAAAGACCGACTCTTCGACCACGTCCAAATGGCTACAGACTCTTTGCTACAGCGGATCCCCTCCGCAGAAATCGTGATCCACGACGATTGTAACGCCCACCACGCCGAGTGGCTTGGTTCACGTTTAACCGATCATGCGGCGAGATCTGTTCATGATTTTTCCTTGGCATATGGTCTGACGCAGCTGGTTACTTCACCTACATGGATTCCAGATTTTGAGAACCGTACACCTTCGCCGTTGGACCTTCTGCTGACTTCTCATCCGGACGGATATCAGATTTCCGTCGACGCCCCTTTAGGCTTCTCGGACCATTGTCTTGTTCGTAGTGTGGTGCCACTCAAGCTGAAATCGCGGTTGCATTCTGTAGGCTGCCGCCGTGCTTGACGCTATAGGTCAGCCGATTGGTATAGGATGCGGTCTTTCTTTGCATACTACCCCCTTGGGGTGGGTTTGCTTCTCGCTGGACGATCCCAACGTTGTTGCTAATTCTGTCGCTGATGTGGTACTTCAGGGTACGGAACTTTTTATTCCTTCCTCTGTGGTGCCCATTGGAGGCAAACTTCAGCCATGGTTTGGTCGCTCCTGTGAAATTACATCATGCTATAAGCGGGAGTGCTACCAAGCCTGGGCTGACGCATTAACGTCCTGGAATGTACCACCCTCTACCCGGAATGTAACCAGCGCTCTAAAAAAGAAGTACCCACTCCAGGTCGTGTCCAGGTCGTCGGCACATAGGCAGAATTGGCGAGAAACTAGTTCAACTTCCGTCTGGAACCCGTGCATTCTGGTCTCTCGCCAAGGCTGTCCAGGGGAATTTCTGTCAACCATCTCTTCCATCTCTGCACAGGGAGAACGACTCACTGGCCCATGCCGCACAGGAGAAAGGCGATCTGCTAGATTCTTTCTTTGCGACCATCTCGACTCTCGATGACGTGGGGCGTCGCCGCCGACAATCTAATAACGAATAAAAACTTAAAAAGTTGTTATGTCTAACCTGACTTCGCTGGCCAAGCGTAGCAACTGTGGCAAATTATATCCCCCCTATGCGACAATCTACGGGGAGGCCTTTGCTCAGCAGGGGACTTTAATAATCGGTAACAATCAACAACAAAGACACTGTTTGCTTAAGATAAGTTGATACGAGATGAGTAGAGGATTTTGTCGCGCAGACGGTGACCCGGAGCGCGACTTCGTGGTGGGGCGCGAGGACGGCAGCCTGGTGGTGGCGCGCCGCCTGCTGTGGGAGCGCCGCGCGCGCTACGCGCTCAACGTCTCCGTCACCGACGGCCACAACACCGTCTACACCACGGTGCGTACTTTATATCCCATAGTCTAACTTTTTCATCTTGCCTTTTTTCCTTTTATTTTTCTTTACCTTAAATGTAAATTAAATGCAGTTAATTAGTCAGAAATTTTAAGCTTACTTCACTCACATACTTACTTGTCACTATCTTCACCAGCACTTTACTTCACGTCTACACAGGTGATCACACCCAATACCCCGTTCCAAGTCCGATGCCAGTCTTCTATATCCACTCTAAATTAGTTCTTTACAATACCTATCACTATTGATAATAGTGCTACGTATTGTACTTGTAATAAAGTTATTTTTTGTTTGTGGTTTAAAGATAGGAATGAAATACGTCATTTCTTGAATACGTTCTATTTGCAGTTGTTTTTGACAAGGTGTATAAATGATAATATGGGTATAAGATTCTAAGATATTACTTTACTTCTAACAAGTGGGTATACAAAGATGAATTCTATACTGACATGTAGAGATACATACATAGTACAAAACAAGATCGCTTCCGGCCGTCTGTACGCTTATGGCGGCATCACATTATCGCCGTGAGTTCACGCCTTGAATTCAACACACCTCCACAATCACGAGATGCTCAGAACTTTCGTGAAACCCGCCGCGAAACGGACGTAGAAACTGCTGCTGCAATAACTTTATTTGTTGTGGCAACATATCACTATTTAGACATCCAAAACAAGAAATTCATTAGAAAGCGTTGGAAGAAAAGAAGATGCCATCAAAAACATAACTTGTAAAAAAAACCAAGTCTCGCAACTCAGTTGTTCTACCATAAAAATGTGTGAGATCCATGTAATACCAAGTCGGTTAATTTATTCAGTTCCTACTTAAGGGTCCTTCTGTTTTAAGTTATTACGTAATTAGCTAACCTAACAACATTTTATAGTGACCATAAAAATGTTAAAAATCTTTTATGTTTTAAATATATAGATTTTATGGTCACTATAAAATGTTAGGTTAGCTAATTACGTAATAACTTAAAACAGAAGGACCCTTAAGTAGGGAGTGAATAAATTAACCGACTTGGTATTACATGGATCTCACAAATTTTTATGGTAGAACAACTGAGTTGCGAGACTTGGTTTTTTTACAAGTTATGTTTTTGATGGCATCTCACTTATTTTTGTAGATAAGATAGCTCTACTTATTGAATACCAACGACGAACCTATCTACACCTATTAAACATAATATACAAGTACACTTATTCATTCACTGCAAATATAACTTTGTAATTCTATACATTTATATGATATTACAAAGTTATTTATGCAGTTGGTGTATCTAGAAAACTGGACCAAAATTAAAAAATATTTTAGTTTTTCCTTGATTTATACACTAAACCCTAATTGCATTCCAAGTTTGAAGCTTCTATGTCTGCTAGAAGTGCCTTAGAGTTTTGATGATCGGTCAGTCAGTGAGTGACAAAATTAATAAACTTTGACTAGTTGTAACTCTTAAACTACTGATTCAAATTGAATGAAATTTGAAATATACCATGTTTATACAATGTGTACTTGGTTAAATGGAAAAAATTCAGGCTTTTAGTTTAATCCACTACGAAGTTATAGGGGGTCGAAAATGGCCTGAATTGCTTCAAGAAAAGTATAGTACGGCCGTGCCGCTTTTTTGCTCGACTTGGCGGGGGCACTGCCGTGCCCCCAGATGGTGTATGACTAAAATACACTGGCCCTACGTCTCTGTAGTCCAAAACGAACTGGCATAGGGCGGTGAATCTAGATGTGTACGCGTGAAACTACGCAGCGGTTATCATCAATAGACTGAAAGATTCGAGAGAAAGGTTTATATGTATAATTTTTTTGATCGTGTGTGTGGTTTAACTCCTAAACGGCTGGATCCATTTCAATGAGATTTTGTGTGTATGATAATGTATGTAATAAAGTTGGTTTGAGAAGTGTTTATCGATTATCAATATCCAAAAATCACCGCTGCGAAGACGGAGCGGATCGCTAGTTCTAAAATAATTGCTGTTACACAATATTTATTGTGTGTTTAAAGTCAAAAAGAAATTGTTAATAAATGATTTGCAGGTGAATATCTCGGTGATTAACGACGCCAACGAGGGCGGCGTGGAGTTCGAGCAGGAGCAGTACTCGGTGGAGGTGTCGGAGAGCGCGCGGGCGGGCGACACTGTGTTGACGCTGCGGGCACGTGTGCGGGCGGGGGCTGGTGCGGGGGCGGGCGCGGGGACGGGCGCGGCGCCGCGGCTGCTGTACGGACTGCAGGGTGCGCGTGCGCCCGCGGACGTCTCGCTGTTCCGCCTGCACGAGCTCACCGGCGTGCTGGAACTCGCGCGCCCACTTGACAGGTGCAACAACCTTTTTTGAATTTAAAACTTCTTCAGGAACATTGGCCACTTTTGCACTTTTGGGATGGGGAAAAAGCACTGAATATCCTCTACTGGGTAAAATCGTTAATGTTTGCGTCCTTCAAGCTTGAATTCTCATCAACGATATCGTAAATTTTAAGCCCCGGATACACTAGGGGATATTTTATTCCGCAACATGACGCGAAACACTCAATTTACGTGACGATGCAACGTTGCACAGTGACCCACAACACGGCCCGCAACATTTTATGTGGCGCGGGACATATTGCATGTTCCCGCTCCGAGAGCGAGCGCACGTGTCCCGCGTCAATTTCTCGCCATTTTGTTAATGCAATGGCAAGGACGGCCAATGCAAATGAGGGCCAACAGCGTTCCATAGTGTTGTATCCTGTTTGGCTATGAGAAGACCGATTTCTAATAAAGTTTCAAAATCAAATGTTTACATTCGAGTAAAATTCGTAAAAGATCCATCAGACACTCGGAGATCACTTAAAATATTAATTCTAATAAAAATAAAAATATAAAATCTTATTATTAAATATAAAAATATAAAAGAAATTTATATTTTTATTTTTTATTATAATGGATTTCCGAAAGTAACGCCTGATTCTATCAATAATATTAATTCTTCTTCCTTCGCGTTGTAGTAAGAAATTACGCATCCACCACCTTTTCTTTCGCTTACGTTTCACTCCCGAAGTAAGTACTATGTACGCAGCACTAATTGCCGCAACCTCCTCGGGCAACATTTCTATAAACACTGACTAATGTGGCCTGCAATATGTTTCGCGATATATGTTTCGGGACATTCCGCGTAGTTGTTGAGCGACATGTTGCGCAACATGCCGCTCCTTCTGTACCCAAGTATATCCGTGTCTTAATTATGTCAAGATTTAGAGAGAAATTGATGACAATCAGTAACTTAATACTTACGGCGATATAACCAATTTTGGGAGGATTCTAGCCTGAATTCAAGCTAGCAGTATCTCTTCGAAAACACCATTATCGTCTGCTGTTGAAATGTTATTTCTGTTTTAAGATTTAGTGATTAACTGGTGATCTTCATATCGGGAGATTGAAACATATTGCTCTAACAGGAACAAAGTTATTCAAATGTCTTATGGAGGTTCTGATTTGAAGATTATATATCATTATATAACTCCAGAACGCCTGTGTCTTTCGCTGTGAAATATGTGTTAAGATTTAGTGACTGTTAATTTTAAAAAGAGTCCAAATTTATCTAGCGGAACTTATTGCAAACCTCACTTATAATTTTACATACATTGGGAATGGCTGTGGGACATTTCTAAATTTTTCTATGCTCGCTGTTTCTCATGGTTCATATGAAATTTTATACATTTTGTTAATAATTTTTCATTTGTGCTGTTGTGTTGTTTTTTTTTATAGAAGAGGGGGCAAACGAGCATGCGGCTCACCTGATGTTAAGTGACTACCGCCGCCCATGATCAACCGCAACACCAGGGGAATTGCAGGTGCGTTGCCGGCCCTTTAGACAGAAGTACGCTCTTTTCTTGAAGGTTACCAGGTCGTATCGGTTCGGAAAAATCGCTGGTGGTAAACTATCCACAGAGAGGTTTTCTGTACGTTTGTCGGAAGAAAACTCCTCTTGAAACGTACAGTGGTGGACCGCCAAGCATCCAGATGGTGTTGATGGTATCGCGACGTTTGCCGCGTAGTGCGTTCACGAAATTTGGCGGCTGGGATTAATCCGAATAATTTCTCAGAGTACTCTCCATGGTATATGCGAAAGAAAATGCAAAGAGATGCAGCATCTCTTCGCAGTGCCAGTGAATCGAGCCGATCGGAAAGCACTCGGTCGTCGACGATTCGAGCCGCTCTGCGCTGGATGCGGTCAAGTGGAAGAAGCTGGTACTGGGGAGCCCCAGCCCAGAGATGGGAACAGTATTCCATGTGCGGCCGAACCTGCGCCTTGTAAAGTTGCAGGCGGTGTGCCGGCATGAAATACTGTCCCGCTCTGCTGAGCACGCAAAGCTCTTTAGAGGCCAATTTGGCCTTCTCTTCCAAGTGACCACGAAACTGCACGTCACTCGATATGTCGACGCCGAGGATTCCGATACTGACTGAGGCAACAAGGGGAGTGCTTTGAAACTGAGGAGATACGACAAAGGGGTTCTTTTTAGCGGTTAACGCGCAAACTTGTGTCTTCTGGGGGTTAAACTGGACTAGATTTAGTCGCCCCCAATCCGAGACTCTGTTCAGCAAAGACTCGACTGACACAAGTTTGTCCCGGCACTCGGAGACGTTTTCCCGAGAAATATTGGCTCGGCCGGTGTAAAGATCATCACTAGTGCTGTCATCTGCATAGCAATGAATGTTACGGGCTTGCAACATATCATTGATATGCAGAAGAAACAGCGTTGGCGATAGCACGCAGCTTTGTGGAACACCAGCATTAATAGGCTTGCAATCGGAGCTTGCACCGTCTACAAGGACCTTGATGCCCCGATCTGCAAGAAAGCTGGTGATCCAATCGCACAATTTCTCGGGAAGCCCATAGGAAGGGAGCTTCGAAAGAAGCGCTTTGTTCCAAACCCGATCGAAGGCCTTCGCAATGTCCAAAATAACGGCGAATGCCTCCCCCTTGGACTCTACTGCCTCCGCCCATCTGTGAGTTAGGTAGACCAGAAGATCACCAGCTGACCGACCACGGCGAAAACCGTATTGGCGGTCACTAATCAGTTGGTGATCGTCAAGGTACCTCATAAGCTGGCAGTTTACAATGGACTCCAATGTTTTGGAGAACAAGGAGGTGATGGAGATAGGCCAGTAGTTGGACGGGTCTGAGCGGTCGCCTTTTTTTAGGGATCGGGTGGACGAAAGCCGTCTTCCATGATTTTGGGACTACGCCTAGGGAGTAGGAGTACCAGAAAAGACGTGTTAAAACCGGTGCCAACTCTGGAGCACACGTCCTCAGCACAATTGGGTGTGTTGTGTGTATTAAGAATATGTTTTGATATACACTGTGACCACTGTAAGGTGTGACGTCAATTCAGTACACTGTGAACCTCTTCCTTTTTAGTTTGCTATACTGGTTATTATTTAAAACAAAACGCAGTCCAGTATACTGTCATCCCCATTTTTCATCACTATTTTCAAATGAAGATATTTATAACGTACACGCTTTCTGTTCAAAAAGAATTGAATGTTGTTGCTTTTCAAACTTAAGGTGCAATTTTATTTGAATAACAATATTAATTAATAATAATAACAATGATTCGTGGAAGCTGTTAAATCTCTAGGCGCTAATGTTTTCTGATCACGTGATCAAAGTACTAAGGGTACCTTACCACGCTAGCGTCAGTGCTCACAGTATGAAAATGGCGACGATTTATAACTGCGGCTGTATACTGGCAGTCCAGAACGGAACAAATTTTTCACCAGTGAAAGCACTGAGTAGTGCCCGCAGTGTATATTGCAACACGGCCTAAGATTTAATAGGCATGAAGAGGATTGATAGTTTTTTTTTAAAATGTATATTGACAGTTACATGACATTCATTTGGGACTCCATAAAGAGTCCGTAGGGCAGTTGTTTTTGGAGAGATAGTCGAAGTTTACGTTAAAGGTAGAAAAATTAACTATATTTTAAATCCAAAGGGTTTTCATTTTCGCGTCGGTTTTTCGATCACTAACAAATTCTATGCTAAATACGCTTCGGCCATTAATTAATATTTTCTGATAAGTATATAAACTTTAAAACAAGAACTACGTAACAGCTTACGATCATAACGACCACTTTGTGGGCTGTCAAAAATTTCGCAAACATTACGTAACATCGTTAAAGTTTGTGACAATGTTTGTTACGACACCGATATCAATCAATAGATTTGACAGTAGTGACCGCCAAATATTGATATATTCGGATTGTTATGACCATCGATTTCAGTTATTAAGCGATCGTTTCTATATTCGTGACTGCAGAGTCAGGAGTGCTTAAAGGGATATTGATAATATTAATAAAATTGTGGGTAAACTGTATGCTAAGGTGTTAATTGAAAGAGTTATGAAAGAAACTGATGGAAAAATTTGGGATGTGCAAGCGGGTTTTTTTTTTTGGCCAAAAACCAGAAAGTTTTTTGTGCGTTCATGGACTTGGAAAAGGCTTATGACATAGTGGACAGGAATGTGTTATGGCAAACACTGATGAAGTTTCGAATTTAAACAGATGGAAGAAATACTTTGAAAGCGTGTTTATGAGTGAAGAGTCGTCTGAATTAAATGAACAAGAAATTCCGAAGGAAGTGGAAAGGGGTATGGAGATAAGTGTAGATGAAATAATGAAAGCAATGAAAATCATGAAAGCAGGTAAGGCAGCTGGATATGATAGAGTATCACTCGAGATGCTAAGGGCTGGAGAGGGAGTGGTGGCAGGCCTGCTGTACACCTTGTTTAATTAATGTTGGGAATTAAAACGGGTACCGGATGACTGGTGTAAAGCAGTTATAGTACCAATATATAAAGGAAAAGGGTCACAGCAGGACTGCAAAAACTACCGTGGTATCAGCTTGCTTAGTATTGTGAGTAAACTGTATGCTAAGGTGTTAATTGAAAGAGTTATGAAAGAAACTCATGGAAAAATTTGGGATGTGCAAGCGGGTTTTAGGAAGGGAATGGAGTGTACAGATCATGTCTTTTCCATGCGTATCATTGCGGAGAATTTTTCGGCTAAAAACCAGAAAGTTTTTTGTGCGTTTATGGACTTGGAAAAGGCTTATGACAGAGTGGACAGGAATGTGTTATGGCAAACACTGAACTCATATGGGTTGAGCGCTGGTTTGATACAGGCATTAAGGTCTCTTTATAGGGACTCTAGTGCTTGTGTCAGGATCAATGGGGTCCACTCGGACTGGTTTGGCATCCAAAAAGGTGTCAGACAGGGCTGTGTAGCTTCCCCTTGGCTGTTCAACCTATTTATGGACAGTTGTTTGCAAACTTTGAAAGATGAAGAATGTGGGTTAAGAATGGGCGAGTTAACCGTCAAATGCCGATGATCAAGTCATATTTGCGTCATCGGCGGCTGAGTTGCAAATGATGGTTACATTAATGAACTGGGAATTAAAAGAAAGGGGAATGAAAGTGAACGCAAGTAAGACGAAAGTGATGGTTTTTGAAAGAGAAGAAAGTAAAACAGTATGTGAAATAAGAATAGAAGGAGAGTTAATTGAGCAAGTGGATGAGTTTGTGTATTTGGGATGTGTATTTAGCAGGGATGGTAGATATGATAACGAGTAAATGCAGGGAATAGAGTGAATGGGACACTACACTCTATTATGAAGAACCAGAATGTGTCAAAAAAGGCACGTATGGTAATTCATAATGCTGTGTTAGTCCCTACTTTAATGTATGGTAGTGAAAGCTGGGTGTGGCAGAAGAAGCACGAAAGTAGAATAAATGCTGTAGAAATGCGGTCTTTAAGGAGTATGCTAGGGTTGAATCTGAATGACAGGGTGAGAAATTGCGTGATAAGAGATAAATGTGGTATGCAAGATGATGTTGTGACCAGGATTAAGAAAGGAATGCTTCGGTGGTTTGGTCATGTAGAAAGAATGAGTGAGGAAAGAGTGACAAAGCAAATTTATATGGCAGATGTGAATGGCAGAGTCGGGAAGGGACGCCCTAGAAAAAAGTTTATCGACCAAATTGGCGATATTTTGAAAATGGGCCACGTTAGAAATACCCTTAACCGACGAGCATGTATGCATAGATATATGGATGTAAAGGAGGCGAAAGAGGTCTGTCATAAAGGTGCCAAATGGAAGTCCGTAGTCTCTGCCTACCCCTCTGGGTGACAGGCGTGAGTGTTTATGTTTTATGTATGTTTATTAATAAAATTCCTAGCATTTAAGTTTAAAAAAATGAATTTAGATGAGGAAGGCCGTGTGTTGCAGGGAGAGCGCGGCGCTGCACGAGCTGACGGTGTGGGCGCGCGACCAGGCGCCGCGCGCGTCTCTAGCATTTGCGCGCGTGTCCGTGAGCGTGCGCGGTGCCGACGAGCACGCGCCCGCCTGGCCGCGCCGCCTAGTGCAGGCGCGCGTGCCGCGTACCGCCGCGCCCGGCACACTGCTGGCGGCCCTGCGAGCTGCCGACCGTGACGTGCCCGCTGAGCTGCCGCGCTACTCGCTGCTGCATGACGTGGGTCTGTTCACCGTGGACGCGCTGGGCGACGTGAGGCTGGCGCGCGCTCTGCCCGCCGTGGGCCCGCGCGATTATACGCTACAGGTGCGCGCGCGAGGCCCGCCGCCCGCAGAGCGCACCGCCACGCTGCCACTGCACGTGCTCGTCGTCGAGCCGGACGATTCGCCGCCCAGGTTAGCTCCGATAGCGCCGCGTCCGCCTTCCGCCTCTCCGCGCGTGTGATTAATGTCCTCTTGACCGCATTTTGATCATCCACTCTGAACAGCATTATAGTACACGAGTGTGTGCGCGAACACAGGTACAGTCTCTATTCCTTCACTCTCGTAATCCAATGGGAGGGTAAACCGGCACGATCGTAAAGAGATTAGCGCGGGTCCAACGGCTTTTACGTGCTTTACGAGGTGCGAGGGTGAAACACCGCCAACTTCCTGACTCCGGACTGCTATAGAGAATTTCTCAACAGAAGAACACAATAACTGATTTTGGCGCGACGTAGGATTTGAGCCCGAGACCTCATTATCAGCAATCGCGTCTACGACCACTAGACTGTTAAAATAAAACGTATAACGCGAAAATATCACATGTCCGTCTCACCTTCGTCAGGTTCGTCAACGAAGAGGTGGTATGCGAGGTTTACGAGAACGAGCCGGCGGGCACCGTGGTGGCGACGCTGGAGGCGCGCAGTAACACCGCCGTGTGGTACTCGCTGAGCGGCGGCGAAGGCATGTTCCGTTTGAACCCGGCAGCCGGAGTGCTCGCGCTCGCCGCGCCACTCGACTACGAAACCTGCGTGCTCTACAATCTAACCGTCACCGCACTCAATATGGTATGTGATTTATTCTAATTTACCTTCGATTTTATGATTATGACTACATTCTTTAGATATCAATGACACAACCTAAGGGCGTAAAGAAAACGATCGCAATACCACTGTACCATATACGCATATATTTCAAAATTACCTATTTGTATTTAACTTTTTAATATATCATCTATCAACAAGTGTAGGAATTACATACCCCACAACAAATTGATTTCTCGATCCGGATCATTGTGATATTTTCTAGGTATCATGGTATTGGTAGCAATAATGCAACGTAAGGGTAATAAGATAAAATAATATACCGGATCCACGGTAGTAATGGTGGTTGCGCATATAGGGCGGCGGGTCGGCGGAGGCACACGTGACGGTCCACGTGCTGGACCGCAACGAGTTCGCGCCGGCGCTGCTACGGCGCGAGTACGTCGGGCGCGTGTCGGAGGCGGCGGCGCCGGGCGCGCTGGTGGCGGACGCCGGCGCGGCGCCGGGCTCGCCGCTCGTGCTGCGAGCCGCCGACGCCGACTCGGCCGCGCACCAGCAGCGCGCCTACGAGATCCTGCAGCCAGCCGCCGCCGCGCTCTTCCGCATCGACGACACCACCGGCGCGCTTTCGCTCGCCGCCCCGCTCGACTATGAGCTCGCCGCCGTGCACGAGTTCACCGTCAAGGTTGCACTTCACTCTTTGCTATTACGGAATAAATATATTAATAGTTTTCATTTTTAAGGTATAAAGGTATGATCGCTTTAGTCGAGAAAAGCTACAAAGAATAAACTTGTAAAAGCGTTGAAAATTTAATGAACCATAAAAAAAAATCTATTGTTCCATCAAATTCAGAAAATGCAACAGAAGCTGACCAAAAACAAAATCTTTAGAATTTACTAGAAAAACTCTCATTACAATATCTAAAAATGATAGCTTTACTAAATATATGATAAGTTTATTTAAAGACCCTAATCGGCAGGCGGGATTTATAGAAGGCTTCGTGGCTCGCCGGTAAGGAGCCGACGTGCTAGGCTCCTGGCTCACCAGCGTTGTATGATATTTGATACATTACTTCAACAAAATCAAAATAACTGTTTGACTCGCCGGTGTACCACAGTGTGGCACCAGCGAGCTGCAAGTAAAACCGCCGTAATATTTACCTGGGGCCTGATGGCCCTTAAGGGCCTGGTTGATGCGCACGCTCAGATAGCCCATTGACCAGACCCTTAAAAAGAGTTTATATTTATTAAACAAAAAACAATAATAAATTATTTATAATATCAGGCTTCATTTTATGTAATTGGTTATTTCTAATAAAATCTAAAGTACTAAATTAAAAATGTATAGGTTGAGTATAGTCAATTATATCACGTATATTGTTTGTTGATTTTACAGGTAGTCGATATGGGAAATCCACGTCTGCCGTCAGATAGCGTGGCTAAAGTGAAAGTCGAAGTGATAAATGTGAACGACTGTGCGCCGCAGTTCTCGCAGTCAACGTACGAAGCCACCGTTCTGCTGCCCACCGTGGTCGGAGTTCGCGTGCTCATGCTGTACGCTAGCGACGCGGACGAACCGAATAACGCTTCGCTGACGTTCGATATCCTGGAGTGCAACCCGGATGGTGCCTTCTCACTGACTTCAAGCGGCGAACTGCTCGTGTCGTCAGTGGAGGCTCTGCGCGCCGAACATCGCCTGCGTGTGCGAGTCTCCGATGGACGCTACTCGGCTACAGCGCGCGTGCTGGTGCGCTCTCGTGAGCCCGACAACGCCGGCTTGGCTTTCCAGAAAACCGACTACTACGGTTCCGTGCTCGAGAACACCACCAAGCCCACTACCATAGCCGTGCTCAACGTGCTCGGTGCTGCACTTAATGAACATGTTGAATTCTCTATACTTAATCCTACTGAAGGCTTTGAGGTTCGTATCATTTTATTATCCGATTAGAATTTTCTTTAAAGTTAATTTAACATATTATATCTGAGTATCAAAGTAGTTTTAATGCTAACTGTAGTGTTGGTGGTTTAATAAATGAAAGGTATAATAATTTTTTAGCCAAATTGTACAATTTCTGAATTGAAGAGAACTAGAAAGTAATAGCGTGCGTAATCGTCGGTGGCCGGTCTGAAGTGTTGTGGATGTGTGTCCGCAGCTGGGCGCGGTGCCGTGGGCCCCGTCCCGCACGCTGCACTGACTCCACGCTGGAAACCGGTCTATGCGTTAAAATCGCAGCAGAAGTTTCTATTAACGTTGCTGATATTGCACTACGATGGGTTTAACCGGGAAAGGATGACGCTCTAACAAAATACGAGCATAAAGGAGCAGATTATTGCTGCTGTGTTTCATGAGGCATTCCATCTTAGTCCTCAGTAGTGACAAAGGATAGTTGTAGATATCTATGACCTACAGCCTAATTTGTGGTCTAGTTTCTCTCTCTTTAGAAACAGAAACAGAAACTTTTTTATTCAATGTAGATTATAACAATACTTATTGAAAGTCACTTTTTTAATTTACCACTGGTTCGCAAAAAAACCTCTGTTCTGGGAAAAACCAGCAAGAAAACCAGCGGGACTATTTTTTTCCAATAATAGCTTAAAGTGGTTGTCATTTACCGAGAGACACTGGTGGCGCGGTTGGGTGCTGATTTAAAATCCGGACCGAATGAACCAGAAAATCCCCGTTCTCGTTCAAACAAGCTTTCGTAGTGGACGTTTTATCGGTCTATCTAATAAAATACCAGATTCCGTGCGCGCGAATCTTTTTACTAAAACGGGTGTTCGACGTAGTAATCGTTGCTATTGTCTCGTGAGTTCATAATGCGTTTTTAATAATATAACATTTAAAATAAAACAGTTCCGTCGCGCTGCTGCGAATTTGCGGGACGACCAGCCGCACCCTCGCCGCGATAGGAGACAGTCGACATAATTGCTGTCCCACTTTCGCGCCCGCTTGTGCTACTGTGCGGACCGTCCCACGTCGAACCCAGTTGTTTGTAATAAACCACACTCACCATACATCAATGCGCCGCTTGCCATTCTATCTGTTTATGTTTTTATCATGGCCTGGTGTTTCGCCCACCGAATTCGAGAGACTCTCTTCTGACATCAAGATGAGTTGGATATGCCCTGAGTGTCGCAGCAAAAAACCGCGCAGTGATAACTCAAATACGCCGATCCGGCCGTCAACCCGCACGCCGACGCTAATGTGACATTTTTCCGTGGAAAGCAGGGCCCGTCCAAGCAAGCGGCCATAGTCGCATCCGTAGCCGTGCAAAGCGGCTACTTTTTTTATTAGACAACACAAGAGATTACATCATGACTTAAAGCTATAACTTACAATAATAAAGGTGTGATACAAGACATAAGCCTTATACGTGTGATCACGGCATGCCAAGGTTGAGAAACAAACATTTTAAATAAAATTGCTTAAACTAACAGGCTCACAAATCCAACAAAACAAGAACTATATAATGATGATGACTCGCTCTATGCGTTTCACGTAAATTTTATGACATTTACGTGAAACGCATAGAGCGTATCCAGAAGCGCTTTTTGTGGTATCTTTCGTACCAAACTTATAAAATAAAGGATCTACTCTTATACGAAGACCAACTGACGTATTTTAAATTAAGTTGCCTGCGATAGCAGAGGCTTTTGCTGGATTTCATGTTGCTACACAAAATCGTCAACGGAACCGTAGACTGTCTATATCTACTAACTGCAATAAATTTCAATGTACCATTCAAGCTAGTGCGAGTCAGCCGATACGTCCCCTTTTCAGTTGAAGGCACTAAAACTAACGATTTCTTAAATTTACGCGAACACTGCACATTGGAGGACTTTAGCACTATGCTCAATGGTGTCTCCCAACGGATAGGTCTTAAGATGAACATGGACAAAACAAAGATCATGTTTAATGTCCATGTCACACCTACGCCGGTAGTTGTTGGGAGCACTATGGTCGAAGTTGTTGACGAGTATGTTTACCTGGCACAAATAGTCCGACTAGGTAAGTCCAACTTCGACCGAGAGGTCAATCGACGGATTCAACTCGGCTGGGCAGCGTTCGGGAAATTACGACACATCTTCGTCAGGTATACCTCAATCTCTGAAAACTAAAGTGTATAACCAGTGCGTGTTGCCAGTGATGACTTACAGATCTGAGACGTGGTCCTTCACTGCTGGCCGTATGAGGACGCTCAAGGTCGCCCAGCGAGCTATGGAGAGGGCTATGCTCGGAGTTTCACTGCGTGATAGACTCAGAAATGAGGATATCCACAGTAAAACCAGAGTGACCGACATAGCCCAACGGAGTAGTAAGCTGAAGTGGCAATGGGCCGGCCATATAGCTCGAAGAACCGATAACCGATGGGGAAGAAAGGTTCTCGAGTGGCAGCCTCGTACCGGTAGGCGTAGTGTAGAGCGACCCCCCACTAGATGGAGTGACGACCTGGTAAGACATGCAGGAAGTCGATGGATGCAGGTGGCTCAGGACCGTGCTTTGTGGCATTACTTGGGGGAGGCCTATGTTCAGCAGTGGACTTGTGGAGGGCTGTAATGATGATGATGATGATGACTACACATTGAATAAAACTATTATTTACGGATTTTATCGCGTTTAATTACTTTAATTTATTTTTATTATTATCCCGACGTTTCGGGTGCTTTACAGCACCCATGGTCACGGGGGGGAATGAGATGTTTGACGTCCCAATGTCATAGTTAGTCCGGCTACCTTCAGTTTTTTTTTTTAATATTAATTTTTGGTCCGATTTACGCAAAACAAGCTTATAGTATCATGAAGTCTTGTAGTGGTATGCTTGGGTTTGGGTTTAATTTTGTTAATTATAGGATCCCAAGCAGATGGTAGCACCCAACCATCTTCTCTATTGAAATTTGGATGTTTTTTTAATTTCAATAGCCTCGCGTATCATCCTTGGTAGGAATCGGTGTTCTTTTGCGAGAATTTGTGGTTTATCAAATCTAATGTAATGGTGGGGACGATCTTGAACATGTTCGCAGACTGCAGACTTCCCGGAGCGTCGGTGCTTCACATCAGCTATATGTTCCTTCACGCGGGTTTTTATAGATCTCTTTGTTTGACCTATGTAAGAGAGACCACATTCACAATCTAGCTTGTACACACCTGCATCTTGTAGAGGAATATTACATTTGATGGATGGTAAAAATTGACTAATCTTCTTCAGCGGCTTGTAGTATGTCTTAATGGACGCTCGCTTCAAGATGTAGCCAATCTTGTCCGTGACTCCTCTGACATATGGTAGTAGAGCAGGCGCGCGCTCGACTGTGGCCGGCTTCACTCGTTCACTGTGACGTAGGCGCGGGACCCGAAGCTTGTTGTCTTGCAATACTTGCTTGACGTGCTGAAGCTCCGCGGCCAGATGTTTTCTGTCACAGATCCCTCGTGCTCTCTGAAACAAAGATTTACCCACGGTAGCTAACTGTGAAGGATGATGGTGAGATTCACCATTTAGATATCGGTTGGTATGGGTCTTTTTCCTATACACAGTGTGACCAATAGTGTTATCAGGATTTCGGATGACTAAAACATCTAGGAAGGCTAAAGAATTATTTGTCTCTAACTCCATTGTGAATTGTATTTTAGAGTTTATGGAGTTAAGGTGGTCTAAAAATGCAGTTACTTTGTCAGATGGTAAAATTGTGAAAGTGTCGTCTACATACCGCTTGTAGAACCTTGGATTTACAGGAGCAGTAAGAAGGGCTTTCTCCTCAAAGTCCTCCATGAATATGTCGGCGACTATGGGAGACACAGGTGAGCCCATCGCCACACCATCTACTTGCTTGTAGAACTCCTCCTTCCACAATAAATAGCCAGATGTGAGGCAAGAACTCACGATTCTCCGCGCGGATAAAGGAAATGCTACGGTAGTAATGGACGCGTCGGAATATAATTTTAAAATACAACAACTTTTATCGGACGAAAGTACATATAAAAAGGTCAGGTTGGATGTATTTTAAAATTATATTCCGAACGCGTCCATTACTACCGTAGCATTTCCTTTATCCGCGCGGAGAATCGTGAGTTCTTGCCTCACATCTGGCTATCTATTGTGGAAGAAGGAGTTCTACAAGCAAGTAGATGGTGTGGCGATGGGTTCACCTGTGTCTCCCATAGTTTCCGACATATTCATGGAGGACTTTGAGGAGAAAGCCCTTCTTACTGCTCCTGTAAATCCATGGTTCTACAAGCGGTACGTAGACGATACTTTCACAATTTTACCATCTGACAAAGTAACTTCATTTTTAGACCACCTTAACTCCATAAACTCTAAAATACAATTCACAATGGAGTTAGAGACAAATAATTCTTTAGCCTTCCTAGATGTTTTAGTCATCCGAAATCCTGATAACACTATTGGTCACACTGTGTATAGGAAAAAGACCCATACCAACCGATATTTAAATGGTGAATCTCACCATCATCCTTCACAGTTAGCTACCGTGGGTAAATCTTTGTTTCAGAGAGCACGAGGGATCTGTGACAGAAAACATCTGGCCGCGGAGCTTTAGCACGTCAAGCAAGTATTGCAAGACAACAAGCTTCGGGTCCCGCGCCTACGTCACAGTGAACGAGTGAAGCCGGCCACAGTCGAGCGCGCGCCTGTTCTACTACCATATGTCAGAGGAGTCACGGACAAGATTGGCTACATCTTAAAGCGAGCGTCCATTAAGACATACTACAAGCCGCTGAAGAAGATTAGTCAATTTTTACCATCCATCAAATGTAATATTCCTCTACAAGATGCAGGTGTGTACAAGCTAGATTGTGAATGTGGTCTCTCTTACATAGGTCAAACAAAGAGATCTATAAAAACCCGCGTGAAGGAACATATAGCTGATGTGAAGCACCGACGCTCCGGGAAGTCTGCAGTCTGCGAACATGTTCAAGATCGTCCCCACCATTACATTAGATTTGATAAACCACAAATTCTCGCAAAAGAACACCGATTCCTACCAAGGATGATACGCGAAGCTATTGAAATTAAAAAAACATCCAAATTTCAATAGAGAAGATGGTTGGGTGCTACCATCTGCTTGGGATCCTATAATTAACAAAATTAAACCCAAACCCAAGCATACCACTGCAAGACTTCATGATACTATAAGCACGTTTTGCGTAAATCGGACCAAAAATTAATATTAAAAAAAAACTGAAGGTAGCCGGACTAACTATGACATTGGGACGTCAAACATCTCATTCCCCCCCGTGACCATGGGTGCTGTAAAGCACCCGAAACGTCGGGATAATAATAAAAATAAATTAAAGTAATTAAACGCGATAAAATCCGTAAATAATAGTTTTATTCAAAGCAGTAAAACTAATTGAGGTCACCACGTCACCGTAAACAGGTTACAGAGGCTATATAACCAGCTCTGCAAGACATGTGAAGTCGATATATTTGCTGATAAGTCTCAAAACTTCAAGTGAAAACTTATGCAGTCCTTTACTGTTAACTAACATTGAGGTCTAGTTTTAAGTTTGTGGTTGTAAGTTTTAAGAAACATAATATTTGTTGTCCACATTCCACTTCCACATCCGTGGCAACCTTTAATTAAGACGACACTTAGATATAAACTTTCTTTTATTTCTAGTATTTACATTGTGTTCGTGTATGTCTTGTTGCTTGTCGTAAATAAATCAAAAATAAAATGGTGACGCTAATGGTTCCTGGGTTCGAATCCGGAACGGATGGTTACTAAATGGTTAGGGTGACTATGTTTCCCTTTGTATCCTGATCGAAGGAACTTATAAGATGGTGGAGCGATAGGGATCTCGGGTTCGATTCTCGGGTAGGGCCAAAATTAATTATGCGAGATTTTACTATGTGTAGACTGTATGCGTGGTTCTCTATAACCAATGCAAGATGGCGGCTTTTGAACAATGCACTTGCTAGGGCCTAATCTACTATATTAGCCAGCAAGCCTATGAGCGTGAGCTGTTTTAGGGAACGAGTGGCACAAATGAGAACAGCTCACGCTACGAAAAAAGGAGAACGACTTACTTGGCCGTTAATCTTCTAGCGGCTTACTCAGGCTTGAGGTTGATGGCGCTATGTTGTAGCTGCAGTGGTGCGCGACGATAACTTGCACTATGTGAAGCGATTACTGTTAGCGGTTCTTCTGTGGTGTGACTGCCACAGATTCACAACTAGCGATGATTTTCGACTACTTGGCGCGGCGGCGGCACGTCGACAACAACTGGCCAGCCGGTGGCGTGTTTTCGACCTTTCACTTTCTACCAGCGCATCTTATTGGTCGCCCAAATAACGTCACTTATCTGGCCTCCTATTGGTGTGCCCGTGCTGGAAAGAAGATGAAGTGATGGGAAAAGATGCCAGCTAATATATTCTATAAATATGTGTTTTGGCGCAACACGACACATTGTATAAACGAAATACCATTGACTGACTCACTCATCGCGAGATCTTCAATACTATATATCCGATTGACTTGAAATTTTGAAGTTATTCAATTTGCAATGTAGACGCTCACTAAGAATGGATATTATGATAGTCCTGTCAAAAAAAGGTTGTTGATATTTTACGTGTAGGTTCCGCAATAAAACATTATCGTGCGGGTATCAGTAGTTGCTAACAGTTGCGACGCGATGTGGGCGCAGATCGGCGCCACGTCGGGTGCGGTGGTGGGGCGCGGCGCTTTACTGGACCGCGAGGCGCGCGCCGCCTACACGCTGCTGGTGTGCGCGGTCGCTGGGCCACGCCAGGCGCGCGCGCGCATGCACGTGACCGTGAGCGACGCCAACGACAACTGCCCGCGCTTCGTGGAGCGCCCGTACGCGGCCGCGCTGCCCGCTGGCGCGCCGCCCGCCACGTCTGTGCTGCGCGTGCGTGCCCTAGACCGCGACGCCGGCGACAACGGCGAGGTCAGTGCTCCGTTACATCCTGCACGTGTCCGTGAGCGACGCCAACGACACTAAAAAGAAACAAACATATACATATAACAGTATGCGTAGCTTCCTGTTATCTAGGTCTCTTTTTCTGAACGTTTCCCTTCTACCGCGTGTCAACTGCACACATATTGCATGCCTTAAGCGCTTAGGTATGCTCTGTACGTTTTGTTGCATGAAATCGTATCTAACTATCATATTGCACACATAAATGATATAAAAAACACATTGTCAGTAAGATAAACGTTTGCTGAACTTATAATTTTTTTAATCGATTAATTACTATTTTTTTATTTATTATTAAAAAGTGGTTTAGTAGCTTATGGTGTAGATTTATCAAGTCCGCATGGATGGGTAAACACGATAACTTAAAAATATCAATTATTCAACTCAATCTCCCTTTTCATCTATCATGTGAGAAATAAAATGTAAGATTAATTTTGTTTTGTTTAGTTATAATTATTTTTTCTTCTGAGAAATTTTGAAATTTTCGGTGTTTTGAGCAGTCTTGTAATAATCTATTTTACTAAATACACTTTGAATTGGGTCTGACTCACTCCGGACTCGGCCACCGTGGTGAGTGAGTGGATTACTGTATCGTTTGTTTACAGCGGCTCGTGATGAAAAAATTCGATAGCTGTGGAAATACAATATATTCCAAAAACCAAATTTGATATATACTTGACCAAGATAATATATTAATATTATTTTTATAAACACAGATTTTTATTACGATATATTGTTTCGCTAAAAGTACGTAGGATTTATATATAAATATACTTATACATCTTGGACTTTATGGAGTGACCTGTGAAGGTGTACTTCGGTATCTACTACTGGAAATGCTCGACGAGTAAAACTAGGTGTGCCGGGATTACTCATTTTGTTAGTCATGATAAGACCTTACCCCCGGACTTGACAGAGTGACCTGAAGGTATACTTCGATGAATGCAACTGGAACTCCTCGAAGATTAGTTATAGAAATAGGTGTGCTGAGTTTGGACTCGCTTTGTTAGTTATGATGAGACCTTACCTCTGGACAGTGGCAGATTATCCTGAAGGCGAACTAGGCACGTGCCGAAGGCCGCAAGGTAAAAAAGGGACTCGCGCGAAAGTTTTTAAACGAAAAAAAAACGAATCTAACTACGAAGATAAGGTAAAAACTTGTGCGTGTTTAAAATACTTTAAAATTTGACATGAGCGTTTAGGCATGCACATTTGGATTTACCAAAAGTTTTTTTTAAATGATTTGGAGTTGTTATTGGGAAGATGCTGCTGCCCATCTCCTGTTTCAGTTACCCTCTGTCACATCTTACGACACCTACAGCACGATATGGGCTAGTGGATATTCTTGCACCGCTTCTACATGGTGAAAGGTCAGTGTGACGATAAAATATTATGCCCCTGCCCTTCTCCAGAATTCTCCGCCAATACCGGCTGCCATGAATTTACGTCACGGCAGCCGGTATTGACGGAGTCTAATGATCTGCGCATGACAGAATTATATGCACAAATGTGTGCGCGAGCTCAGCTGCACTCACTTTTTTCTCGCCTTCATAATCTGATGGGATGGCAATTCTATACCGGAGAGAGATCAGGCGCAGGACCGATATATTTACGTGCTTTCCGAGGCCCAAGGATGAAACACCGCCAACTTCCGGAATGCGGGCTGCCACTAATTTTTTCATGACAAAAAACTCAATACACGATTTTTGCAATGCATGCATGTTGTGTTTACTTAATTTAAAATAAGCTCTATAAATGTAACAAATTGTCATAAGCTTTAAGTTATGTAATATTTCAATTAGTGAACCTAATTTAAAAAAAAATTGGAGTCGTCCTTTTTTGTTTAAGTGAAATATCTCGAATAACCTTTTTTAAAAACTCAAGAATTTGCAGGCAAGGCTAATTATTATTAATAGTAGTTTTTTTTACATAAAAATGGTGGTGTGCTTTTTTGAGGAGCATAATCTGTACAGTTTTAAGAATACTGTATCTAATTAATTTAGTATTGTTAAGTCCACTAAATTTACAATGAAGGTTGAAATAAATGAAGAAACGTGTCTTGTAAACGGAGATATTTGTGATTGAATTTTAAACGTGGCGGACGCAGCTGCCACACCTATAACTATTATTATACATATTCATATGTAGTTGTTATAATGAAATAAGTATAGGCATGACGTAGGACACTGGACGCACGATCTAAAGAACTAGGTATATTACGCCGGCCGCGACCTATATTGTGTCAATACACCACTTTCCTCCTTATACAAAGATAAACACTTAACTTACACTAGGTTAACACTCACACTTGTATGCACAAAACGCGAAATCGGTAGGCGTAGCAGTGACTTGGTTGGGAACCGTCTGCACCCTCACCACTGTCGGATGGTTTACGCTCTGCTTCATTATCCAGCCTCTCGCTATATGTTTGGAGCGGCATCATAGTAGATACCCCACTACCAGGACGAACACTATCACCAGTGCGATCAAAGTCCAGCTGATACATTCCAGCTTATAATCTGAATGAATGTTGACAGTCTGAGCTACTGAACTGTTGCTCCTTGCTCTGGCTCCAGCCCATTTTCGTTCAATTCTAAATAGATACGTCCGGCTGCAAAGAAGCAATTTGAACAAATAAAGATACGAAACATCGTCTATATATTATGTTATAAGATCAACAATGACATAACAATTAAAATGCTAAAATAAATAAAAAGTTAACTCAATAATTATTTACTTTAATCAATTGCAAAATTCATGATATGCATCACGAAACTATGTAGCATAAGGATAGGTGCATACTAAGGTATGTATAAATGTCTGCCAAATATTATTACAGTTAACTAAAGTCATATAGTTTACTCTTTAGAGTTCCACAATAAAGTTTTAGATATAACATTGAATTTTTTCTAATTAGAACGATATTTAGGTACCTAGAGATTACCTAAATCGTAAGTCATAATAACTCATAAAAGTAACTAGTCACGATTGAGGAGGTCAGAAATCGAACCTAAGACAATCGTTATCATAACCACTAATCCTAAGCAACGATGAGCCGTTGTACTTAGAGTAGATTACAAGGCAAAAAGTACCGGCGTCTTGATAACGCGGCCACTTCGCGTTGCTTTTGCAATTAAAACTTTGCTAGATGTTTCTGCGTAATTTGTGCTAACAAGACTATCGTTACAACTATTATCACTCAAATTAATGTTATTGTTTAAATCGTTTTCGTTCAGAATGTGTCCGGGTTTTAAACTATCCACAGAAATAGTACTTTCTTTTTCTTCTATTTTTATGACAAAAGTTTTCCCTCTACTGCTTATGACGCTATGGACCCTCCATTATAGGGGGGTTGACCACGTCGGGATCACGTCCTACATAATCCTTTATCCCTTCGAAAGATGGCGGCGTATCTGATTTATTTATATTTTAATACAAATTTAAGATAATTTATAGCGCAATTAAATATATTAAACTTTTTCTAATCTTTCAGGTACGCTATGAAATGAAGCGCGGAAACGGTGAACTGTTCCGTGTGGACAGGCGCACCGGCGAGATCACGCTGAAACAAACACTCGAGGCACATAATCAACTCTACACGCTGGTTATCGCTGCTTTTGACGGAGGTAAGGAATCAGATTCGTTATCGGTTAATCGGAATAGGTTTCTTATTAAAATTTAATCGTAGTAAAGCCGAGGGAACTTTCTAGCCAAATAATCGTCTGAAATTCGAAGTTGCTTGTAATGTTTTTCAAAGACTTCTATGTAATGAAGTGAAATGAAATATTTGCGTTTGATTAAGGTACACTGAAGATGGCCAAGAATAAATAAATATGAAATAATTAATAAAGATTGCATAATGGTCTCAGCATAATATAGTGGTAATATCCATGAAGCTGGTTTTCAGTACGCCCTCTAGCGAGTATATTAGTAGACTACAAGTGTGTGTCGGCACGGTGCAGGCACGCCGGCGTGCGGCGCCGAGACGGAGGTGTCGGTGCGCGTGTGGGGGGGCGGCGCGGCGCCGCGCTGGCCGCAGGCGCGCTACAGCCTGCGCGCGCGCGAGGACGCGCCGCCCGGCCGCGAGCTGGCGCCGCGCTTGCTCGCCGCCTCGCCGCTGGCGCGCCCGTTGCTCTACACGCTGCAAGCCGGCGCCAAAGACCTCTTCGAGGTGCACTTCGACACAGGTACGCCCCGACTACTCTTGACTAGCACACACAGGAAACGTCTTCTCCCGAGGAGGGATCACCCGTGGAGCGGCTGGCTTGTGCAGCGGCGGATGTATGCGAAAGCAATTTCACTTGTCATATGGGAACTATTGGATGAGATTATTAAAGGAGAACGGGATACGTGCTCCGATAACACGTCATTTCATTCAATTGATAATTACTTCTCCAAGAAATAACATAATTTTTTTATTCTTTATGAAATACATATACTTTACAATTTATTTACGTTTTGTTTCGTATTTAACGTAATGTAATAAGTAAAAACGACGATAAAGTTATAATTAGTCCATTTCAATCGCTTCATATTACTTTACAACAAATAAATCTTACGTCTCACACATAATAAGTCAGGTCAAGACAGATGCAGCATCACTACATCAGTTCTCGTTACTTCAAATATCCCGCCGAACTTCAAGACGCTTCCTTTCGCCTATTTTGAAGTAGAACATTGTATTGGCTTGGTATAAAAACGGGCTACTCTTACAAACTCATTTTAAATCATATCCCAACACAACTCTAGCCCCGAGCATGACGCTCCTCGGTCGCGACCTCGTATTAACGCATCCGTTTTATCCCGCAGCGCCCGACGGAGAGAACGGCCCATGTGAGTACCTATCGCAGTACGCTCATTGTGTCTCACTCGAGATCATCGCCAGATCATTTCGTTCATTTCGCACGCTTTTCGATTTGACGCTTGTGCATGACATGCAAAGAGTGTCGTTTTTAACTACTAACTTCAGTATCCACTAAATGATTTTTGTTCACCAAGTAATCTCAGTAATCTCGCGAATCATTTCAATCGTGTCAGTGAACAGTTTAAATATCTTATTTAATTTCAGATTTATTTCACAAATTTTATCTCACATATCGAAAATAAAGTAAGACTTGCACACTTTGTGTCGTCAACCGAGAAATATGAAGCGGTTCCTCACATTTTAAAGCCGACCAAAAAGAAAAATCATACACTTATAGTTACAGCTTGAACATTACTCACTTTTTTTATCACCGCTTTGATGTCCGTTCAGTGTGAACGATATAGCATGAAGCGAGCTAGAGAGTGACGTTGTGTGTAGGCGCGGTGGTACTGCGCGGCACGTTGGACTACGAGCGCGCGCGCGAACACGAACTTGTGTTGCGCGCCACCGACGGCGTGACCGGCGCCTTCGCCGACGTGTCCGTCACGGTGCAGGTGCTCGACGTCAACGACTGCGCGCCAGAGTTCACGCAGGACGAGTATCGCGCAACCGTTTCCGAGGCCGCGGCTGTTGGTGATCTCGTCTTAACCGTCCTAGCCACCGACAACGATACCGGTGACTATAATTTCATAATTATATACTCATACTCTTGTTTTAAATAATGTTTAGTTAAATAGAGTTTAAGTAAAACACGCTACTGGGATGTAAAAGTGGTGTTAAAGTTAATCTTATTTACACGTGTTGCACGCTGGTAATTAATGGCACGAAGAAGAACCTCGCGAACTACAATAGTAGTTATGTATATTTAAAAATAGCCTTTTAATATGAGCGTCAGTTCAGCACTTACCACACAACACCCGATGTGATGAGTATATTGCTTATCAGTCCATTGAAGAATATTTATTCTTCGATAGACTGATAAGCCCGATAAAGAAGTCGATCGTCCCCATGAGTAAATCCAATTGTTAAATTAGAATAGAATATTTTTTTATTTGATATATCATGATCATATGTAATTCTTATAGAAAGTTAATTTTTACTTTTATTAATAGAGGATCATATCTATAGGATAAATAGAGTTCACGATGTGACACGACAAGAAGGAGCGGGTAAGTTGAAAACGCGTGTTTGTGCGCAGGTGCGAACGGGAACGTGACGTACTCGGTTTCGGAGTGGGACGCGGAAGAGGGTGCGGGGAAGGGTGCGGCGCAGTTCTCGGTATCGGCGCGCGGCGAGGTGCGCGTGGCGGCGGCGCTGGACCGCGAGGCGCGCGCTCGCCACCACCTGCTGCTGGCCGCCTCCGACGCCGGCCGCCCCGCGCTGTGCACCACCGCGCACCTCCTCATCACCGGTACGCCACTTCTATGTATACCATTAGATCTGCTGTTCGGATAGAATGATCTAAATATATCATTTAATATTGAAAGGAATAATTTGTTCAACCAGTAGCAAATAAATCCTACAAACAACAGTGAACCTTAACATCTAGTACACCTGCTACTCAAAAAATTGTGATACAACTGTGAATCGCGTGCGGCACGCGGTAAATATCCCACGCAGTTGTATTTTCATTTACGACAGAATGTTTTTACGCAAATACGAAATAAAGTTACACAATTATCCGAAATAAATTTCAATTCACATTGACAAAGTGCGCACATAACAGTGTTTGCTTAGTTACATTAACCTTTAAACAAAATCATTGTTGGATTGTCGTAAACGACACTCGCGTTTTACAAAAAAAGAACTAGTCTTCTCGCCCGCTCGCAGTCGACCTCGAAGTTATAAAGAATTGACCGAACTTACTGCGCAAGCCTCTTCTGACACTTCTCCGATGCGCGCATATTCATATGATCACGGTATGCGATCTAGACATTGTTAATTTTGTATGGTAATTTTACATTTAACTTTTGACGTATATAAAATAAAGCTTAGATGAAATCAAACAAATATGTGACGCACAAACACATAATGTGCAATAATATGAAAATGAACGCAGAATATACACAGAATGTACAATGTAACATAAGGCTATACGTTTTCATTGAGGTCACTTCGTTGTTTACCCTATAGTTATTAGTATAGCATGTAATACACATTGTTACCGCTAACCACACATTCTCCGCTAATGTTTTTAGGACACTAATTCTGCTGTCTGTAATTAAAAAGTTTCAGAGAACACTGTCGATGAAACTAATAAAAATTATTTCGGCTAATTTATATGCATCTAAATTATCCGAATCTAGTACTCGAAAATATCTTTTGTAAAATGTACCAGGGATTGTAATAATAGATATGCTGCTTATATTTCTGCAGAGAAAAAAAAGTCAAAGAAGAAACTAGTATAGAACCTATTCTATTTAATACTAGTCTTCGTCCGCGTAGAGTTCTGAAAGCGAAATAATTTCGAAAAATAACGCTACACGCTCGCCGTAATTAGATGATACTTAGTTGGTACATGATTTTGGTCCGATCTATAAACTATATTCATGAAAAAATCATGTCAATGCGTTGTTTGGTTATTGCGTGAAAGAAGCATTAACCAACAATGACACTTGTATTCTAACAAATATTATTATTAGAATTTTCAATTTTATTTTATCGTTGTATCTAAAAAAACACAGTTGTACTACTAGTACGTAGAATGTGACCGTTCAGTTGTCGAGTCAACCGGTAGGCTCGACACCGATAGTGCCTCAGTTGGCACTATTCATGTCATTCATGATCGGTACCGAGCCGATCGGTCGGTAAGGGATCCTTGGTGATTTATTAAAACTACTTTTACGGATTTTATCGCGATTAAAACGCGATAAAATCCGTAAAAGTAGTTTTAATCAATGTGTAATGTTCGCATAAATATAAGAAATCATTATGATCCTTGGTGAGCTGTAGGTCTGTGTGCGCAGTGGAGGACGTGAACGACAACGCGCCGCGGATGGAGCGTACCGTGGTGACGGCATTAGTGTCAGCGGAGGCGTCGCGCGGCGCGGCACTGGCGCGCGTGGCGGCCTGGGACCCAGACGCGGCCGACGCGCCGCGGCTGCACTACGCGATTACCACACCCGCACAGCGCGCGCTACGCTTGCACTCAACCAGCGGGCTGCTCACGCTGGCCGACCCGCGCGCCCCACTACCGCGCTCGCTGAACGTGTCCGTGTCGGATGGCGCGCACGCAGCCTTCACGCGTGTCGAGCTGGTGCCAGCGCCCGCCAACAACGCTGCGCCGCACTTCCCGCACCTCGTGCACGAGGCGCGCGCAAGAGAAAATCAGCCGCCGCCGCTGCTGCTTACTACGGTTAGACTGCCATTTTGCTCTATCTACGCTATTTCTAACATTTTGCTCGAAATCCCTTTATTTTAGCTCTTTATTCTAATATTTATTATAATGTTCTTAATTTTTAAGTCCTTGATGACTGAAATAAAGTTATTATAATATTGTGTATTGTATTGTATTCAGACAATAACGAATACCAACTATATTATAGTTAGTAGTATGAATGGGTAAGCTCGACCAAGGTAAGACTACGCGCTCACACAATATCAGCGTAAAATAGTAGCTTAACGTAGCTGTGTTTCGTGTGGTGAGTATAGAGCCGGAAACACTTTTTTGGGGACGAAGCATTCTTTAGTCTTCAGAGGCGATAGATAACGTATCTATCTGCTTTAGAGTTTTAATTGGGGATAAATTTAGATGTCTGCATGCTACATAATCCACTTACCATCATGTCGATTGTGTACTGATTTGTCACCCTTATAAAAAAAGAAATAGCTGATACCTTGAACATTTTAATTAATCATTATAGTAACTTTTCTTTTTTATACAGCCCACAAATACTCCACTGTCGAATATGCACATTTTATTTAGAGAAAACGTTTTGCCATCGTTTTACGCATGCCTTAGCGATCGTATTACTGGGTGTCTCGAACTTTAATAATATTTATTTTGTATCTAGTAAGTATACAATAATGAGATTCCTTCACAATGGTTGTTCTTTAAAATGATTCCCTTATCCATCGTAAGGTGAAATAGAACGGGTGTGTGTCCGCAGGTGAAGGCGTACGACGAGGACGCGGGCGAGTACGGCACCGTGACGTACTCGATCCCGTCGGCGCGACTGCGGGAGACGTTCGCGGTGGACGCGCACAGCGGCGCGCTGACGACGCGCGTGCCGCTGGACCGCGAGGCGCGCGTCGAGTGGCAGGTGCCGCTGCTGGCCAGCGACGGCGGCGGCCGCCTGGCGCACACCACCGTGCGCGTGCGCGTGCTTGACCTCAACGACTGTGCGCCGAGCTTCCCGCTGCGCGAGTACCGCGCCGCCGTGCGCCACGACCACACGCCCGGCGTGCCGTTCCTCACGCTGCGCGCGCACGACGCGGACGCGCCCGACAACGCGCGCCTCACCTACTCCGTGTACGAGGGCGAGCTGCACTCCGACGCGAGCGGCCTCTTCGCCGTCGACTCCGTCACCGGCGCGCTCTCCTTTGCTCGCAACGCGACCGCTTTCGGTGAGCACATAGCCTTTTAACTTCACCAAAATGTATTCGTAAATTCTCATTAATAATGTCATCTAAATAATTATGTTGAAAATTTCATCTCTTTATTTTCTATCTTTAAGGGTTAAAGGGGAATGTTTTTAGTTCCTGAAGTATAGCCTATTTAATAAAAGGAAAGAATCATTAAAACCAGTTCCGTATAGGATTTGTCCAAACATTGAGAATCCATCTATTAAAGTTGGTAAAATGCTGTAAACGATTATACAAGTACAGTGCATGTATATTCGCTTGTAACACAAAAGGCCAAAAAATGCTTCATCAAAACTATATTGTAATGAGTGAAGATTTTGATATAAAGTTGTTGGTTGTGCACAGCGGGGCGGTCGCTGCAGGTGTGGGTGCGAGCGCGCGACGGTGGCGGGCTGGCGGGCGAGGCGCCGGTGTCGCTGCACGTGCTGGCGGACGGCGCCGCGCCGCGACTCAAGCGGCCGCCGCCCGACCTGTTCCTGCGCGAGGACGCGCCGCCCGGCACGCTGCTGGCCGAGCTGGCCGACGTCACAGACGACGAGGCGCCGCGCTACCGCCTCGCCGACTCGCCGTCGCGCGACCTCTTCGCGGTGGACGCCGCCGGCCGCCTCGTGCTCGTCGCGCCGCTCGACCGCGCGCCCGCTGCTGAACATGTCATAGGTGCTTCCTTCTTCGCCACATCGTAGTCATCATTACAGCCATACTATACATAGTAGAATACCAACGCGAGATAGCAGCTTAATACCGCTCTTTAGGTTCTCTAAACTCGTAGAACGAGTTTAGAGAACCTGAGACCCTTTTTACAAGATACGAGGCATTCCATCTTCGTTTTTTGGGGTGAAAACGCGTCTGCATTTTGATATTTAATCAAGGATAGATGTAGATGTCTATGAGCCACAGTCACCATTATTTCATGTAAAAAATTGCATCCATCAACTTAAAGATATGCGGGATCTTACCAGGTCGTCATTACATCTAATGGGAGATGTCCTACCCTTCATCTACCGAAACTTAACCAAACTACTACTCGAGAACTTTTCTTCTCCATCGCTTGTTGTTTTTCCAGCTATATTGCCGGCCCCTCGTCACTTTAGCTTATTAATCAATTTTTTTCGCCACGCTACACTTTGAATATGTCTTTAAATTTGCTTTCATATTGTAGGGCAATTCAGAAATTGAAGTTAACAGAATCGTGAATACATTACTGTTGCAGCTATATATCTGTCATCTATTCTATGGTCATTTATATCTTAACTTTAATTAGATTATTTGATAGCTGAAGGGTCAAAGAATTCATTACGTTGAGTAAGGACCGTGACGCATCGTGCGGGGCACGTATTCACATAAAACACTTTAATCATTGAAATAATACTAGTTTTTACGGAATTTATCGCGTATATTTAACTTTTTAATTACCCGACGTTTCGACAGCTTTACAGCACCCATGGTCACGGGAAGGACTGAGATGTTCAACGTCCAGATGTCATAGTTAACCGCGGTTACCATAGATTAAAATTTAACTTTTGTTCCGATCTACACAGTATGAACTTATGGTATCATGGAGTCTTGCAGTTGTATGCTTGGGTTGTTGGGTTGGGATTTAATTTTATTTATTATAGGATCCCAAGCAGATGGTAGCACCCAGCCATCTTCTCTATTGAAATTAGGATGTTTTTTGATTTCAATAGCCTCGCGAATCATCCTTGGAAGGAATCGGTGTTCTTTAGCGAGGATTTGTGGTCTATCAAATCTGATGTAGTGACGGGGGCGATCCTGTACGTGTTCATAGACTGCAGACTTCCCGGAGCGTCGATTCTTCACATCAGCTATATGTTCTTTAACGCGGGTTTTAATTGATCTCTTAGTTTGTCCTATGTAGGAGAGACCACATTCACAATCAAGTTTGTACACTCCTGCATCTTGCAGAGGGACATTACACTTGACCGATGGTAAAAACTGACCAATCTTCTTCAGCGGCTTGGAGTATGTTTTGATGGAAGTGCGCTTCAAGATGTAGCCAATCTTGTCAGTGACTACTCTAACATATGGCAGTACAGCAGGTACACGCTCGACTGTGGCCGGCTTCACTCGTTCACTGTGACGTAGGCGCGGGACCCGAAGCTTGTTGTCATGCAAAACTTGCTTGACATGTTGGAGCTCGGCAGCCAGGTGTTTACTGTCATAGATCCCTCGTGCTCTCTGAAACAAAGATTTACCCACGGTAGCTAACTGTGAAGGATGGTGGTGATTACCGTTTAAATATGAATCTGTATGGGTCTTTTCTCTATACACAGTATGACTCAAGGTGTTATCAGGATTCCGAATTACCAACACATCTAGAAAAGCTAAGGAATTGTTTGCCTCTAACTCCATTGTGAACTGAATTTTAGAATTTATAGAGTTAAGATGGTCTAAAATTGCAGTTACTTTATCTAAAGGTAGAATTGTGAAAGTGTCGTCTACGTACCGCTTGTAGAACCTTGGATTTATGGGAGAAGTAAGCAGGGCTTTCTCCTCAAAGACGTCGTCGATACGTCAAGACATTTCGTCTATGTTACGTCGATGTTCAGTGCCTAAACCGAATCTTCCCAAAGACGAATTTATAACGCTAAAGAATCAACGCAATAAACCAGAACTTACGATTCTCCGCGCAGATAAGGGAAACGCCACGGTAGTCATGGATACGTCAGATTATAATTCTAAAATACAAGAACTTTTGTCGGATGTAAGTACTTATAAAAAAGGTTAAAAACGACTCAACAAATAGCACATTAAAAATAACTAGTGACCTCATAAAGAAACACTCCGAAAAATTAAATCTGGACGTAAAATGGATAATACCTACGTGCGCCAAATCACCAAAGTTGTATGGGTTACCTAACATGTACACAAGCCCAATGCTCCATTACGTCCTATAGTGAGCCAAATCGATTCACCAATTTACAGATTCGCTCGACACTTAGCGAAAATACTCTCACCACTCAGGGGACATACAAGAGCACACATAAAGAATTCCTACCATTTTGTCAGCGAGATTAAAGACCTACGTCTGGCAGACAATGAAACTATGTTCAGTTTTGATGTGCAGTCATTGCTTACATGCTTACCTGTTGAAGACTGCATCTCAATTGTAACTAGAAGGCTGGAAGAAAACTATATGCCCGTAGAATATGCAGTATTACTCAGACACTGCCTTACATCTGGCTACCTATTGTGGAAGGAGGAGTTCTACAAGCAAGTAGATGGTGTGGCGATGGGCTCACCTGTGTCTCCCATAGTCGCCGACTTATTCATGGAAGACTTTGAGGAGAAAGCCCTGCTTACTTCTCCCTTAAATCCAAGATTCTACAAGCGGTACGTAGACGACACTTTCACAATTCTACCTTTAGATAAAGTAACTGCAATTTTAGACCATCTTAACTCTATAAATTCTAAATTTCAGTTCACAATGGAGTTAGAGGCAAACAATTCCTTAGCTTTTCTAGATGTGTTAGTAATTCGGAATAACTAATAAATATTCTGATAACACCTTGAGCCATACTACCAAGACCCATACAGATTCATATTTAAACGGTAATCACCACCATCCTTCACAGTTAGCTACCGTGGGTAAATCTTTGTTTCAGAGAGCACGAGGGATCTATGACAGTAAACACCTGGCTGCCGAGCTCCAACACGTCAAGCAAGTTTTGCATGACAACAAGCTTCGGGTCCCGCGCCTACGTCACAGTGAACGAGTGAAGCCGGCCACAGTCGAGCGTGTACCTGCTGTACTGCCATATGTTGGAGTAGTCACTGACAAGATTGGCTACATCTTGAAGCGAGCTTCCATCAAAACATACTTCAAGCCGCCGAAGAAGATTGGTCAGTTTTTACCATCAGTCAAATGTAACGTCCCTCTGCAAGATATAGGAGTGTACAAGCTTGATTGTGAATGTGGTCTCTCCTACATAGGACAAACTAAAAGATCAATTAAAACCCGCGTTAAAGAACATACAGCTGATGTGAAGAATCGACGTTCCCGGAAGTCTGCAGTCTGTGAACACGTACAGGATCGCCCCCGTCACTATATCAGATATGATAGACCACAAATCCTCGCTAAAGAACACCGATTCCTTCCAAGGATGATTCGCGAGGCTATTGAAATCAAAAAACATCCTAATTTCAATAGAGAAGATGGCTGGGTGCTACCATCTGCTTGGGATCCTATAATAAATAAAATTAAATCCCAACCCAAGCATACAACTGCAAGACTTCATGATACCATAAGTTCACACTGTGTAGATCGGAACAAAAGTTAAATTTTAATCTATGGTAACCGCGGTTAACTATGACATCTGGACGTTGAACATCTCAGTCCTTCCCGTGACCATGGGTGCTGTAAAGCTCTCAAAACGTCGGGTATTAAAAAGTTAAATATACGCGATAAATTCCGTAAAAACTAGTATTATTTCAATGTGTAGTGTTCGCGTAAATATAAGAAATTGTTGGAGCGCCTGCGCATTCTTTCGGAGCAAAGAGTTAAACAACGTACTTGTAGTAATTACGTCCGTACTTAACGTTAATTTTAAACAGGGTTTTTGTCTTTGAAATATATTCATTACCCTCTCAGCTGTTGTGAGATCAATACAATCGTCCAATACCACATTCAAGTTACATTATTTTTAAATTCCCGTAAACTCCCGAACATGGTCCTAGATCGTCGCCGGATATAAAATAATAAGCACCAGAATTTATATTATACTCGTATATGATAAATTTAGTGGAGTTTACGTTGGAATCAAATTTGGAGTTACGTGGCCGCCATCAAGAATGTGGGTCAATTTGCAGTAATTACGTGGTGTTTAAGATAAAGTTTAAGATTTATCATCACCCTACACTCTATTAAGGTAATCCTATTGTATTTGGTGTAAATCACCGGACTTATAAGGTTAGTGAAGTTATTGTTCCTATCGATTATTAATTACCTACTGCGTTGTGGTTACATTCGCAATTTTTTTGATAATTTGCAGTAATTAAGTAAGAAGTTGTATTGTAAGGATACTGTTAGACATTAATCTACATTATTTTTTGCTTATTTACATTATTTATTATAGTAGTGCAGTAGAAATTGTATAGTAGCATTAATTATTATTACCTACAACAAGTAAATGTTTTTAGGCTTTAATTATTATTTATTTTGTTGTTTAGAGTGTTTTATAGTAATAAAATTATACTAAAGTAATAGCGTAATTGTAGCATAGGACGATTGTTGGTTTTTTTCTTTGATTTCGTGGATATATAATAATTGAATTAGGTATTGTAAGTAGCTTAAATCATAAAGTTATCTACTATTATTTGAACGTCGAGAAATATTGTGTAAAGTTACTTGTCACTATAATATTATTAAATTATTATTTGCCGAGTTAGTACCTACATACTGTATAATATAGTTAAGTAGTTTTTCAGAGCTTTGAAGTTAGTTAGTGCATTAGATAGTTGGAGATTGTTTTTGAATACTTGTAATTGTATACATTCCAGATCGAATACTCTCGTCTTTCAGAATGACCGAAGAAAAGGAGTTGATCAAAAAACGAGGTAGTTTTAAAGGCCGCTTAACTGCTTTCATTGGTTACTTGGATTCGCTTACTACACCTTTACAAAATCATGACGCGACGGAA